TCCTTCTACCCTAGAAAAGTTTGATTAAAAGAATTTAGCAGCCCGGGTAGATTTTTATTTTCAAAACTAATCTATTACGGAACCTTACTTTTAAATAAAATGGGAGAGCAGTTTAAAATTATAGAATACTCATTAATTATCTTATTTATTGTTACAGGTAGTGTTTTCCTAATTTCTACTAGTGATTTAGTATCCATATTTCTATCAATAGAATTACAAAGTTATGGACTGTATTTATTATCAACTATCTACAGAGATTCAGAACCCGCTACATCGGGTGGTCTTATGTATTTTTTACTAGGGGGACTATCATCCTGTTTTATACTATTAGGAACAGCTTTACTTTATGCAAATTCTGGTACAACAAACTTAGACAGCTTGTATATCATAACTAGCATATCTGATGTAAGTAAAGAAAACATTACGGGATTACTTTATTGATATAAATCTTATTATATACATATAAGTTTATTATTTATAGCTGTAGGATTTTTATTTAAAGTTTCCGCTGCACCATTCCACTTCTGAAGCCCTGATGGATGATACGGAAAATCATCACCAAAAATACTTACATCGTGTATTCGGGGCAAATTGCCAAATTCCGGGAAAGCCCTAGAACTTAAGATACCAAGCCATAATCGAAAGGTTATAGGTGGATGAACTAATCCCTCATGTACGGTAACAAGTCTTAAGACATTTGAAAAAATAGGGGGTAATCGCGGATCTAAATTAGTCACTGGATTATCGTTATATAAACCACAAACTATAAAAGAGCAACGAGTATACGGCAATTGATACGATTTATCGTATTTAAGATGTACTCTATTAGGTTTCGGGAGAAATCGTTTAATAAAAATCCCTTCTAACCAAATTATGCCAAAACGAAATTATACAGTTAGTAATAACCCTAATCCGGATACATCTATTATTATGCTTCCTTGATTTGTAACAGGGTTCACCGATGCAGAAGGATGTTTCACTATTATCGCACGGAAAGCACCTAGAACTAACAGAGGTTGAAAGATCGAAGCCAATTTTATTATAAATCTCCACAAAAAAGACGTTAAAATCTTAAAACAAATTAAAGAATTTTTTGGTGGGGTCGGACGAGTAAGTAAAGAGAGAAACGGTTGTTGTGATTATACGGTAAGTTCTTTAGATCAAATTGCATCCGTTATTCTTCCTCATTTCGATAAATATCCTTTAATCACTCAAAAGCTTGCGGACTATATACTTTTTAAAGAAGTTGTTCTTATGATGAAGCGAGGTGAACATTTAACAGTTTCAGGTTTAGAAGCTATTATGAATAGACGAGCTTCTATGAACAGAGGGTTAACTCCAGCATTGAAAGAAGCTTTCCCTGAACATGTCCCTGTGGAAAGACCTATAATCGATGCAACTAAGGTCTTTCCAATTGACCCTTACTGATTGGCTGGATTCGCCTCTGGAGATGGTACTTTTGCAATCAAGTTGAGAGTTAATGATTCTTTTGCAGGAGGTCGTGTTGAATTGGTCTTTGCTTTAACTCAACACTCTCGAGACCTTCCTCTTATGAAGTATTTCGTTGAATATTTAGGATGTGGAAAATGTTATACTTTTAAGAATCATGCAGAATATATATGTCGTAATTTCAGTGAGATACAGGAAAAAATTTTACCCTTTTTCATTAAATATCCTATTATAGGAGTTAAAGCACAAGATTTTTCTGACTGAGAGAAGGCTCTTAAAATTATGAATTCTAAAGCTCATCTAACTAAACCCGGATTTGAACAAATTAAACTTATTAAGGCTGGAATGAATAAAGGTCGAAATAATGTTTAATCGTTTTATAATATTAATTGAACTACACCGGAAAAATTTTTTACTCTATACCTTAAATGTATATAAATTATGGTTTTCTTCTTATTTACTTATCTGTATAAAGTTTGGCATATTTGTATGATAAATTTTATTTTTAAGGATGTATACGATGCAATTCCTACAGTTGTTACTACTTTTGTGGCTATCATTGCCAAAATTTCTATCTTTATTTTCTTATTAGAATTAGTTCATTATACTAGTAAACCAGTACTGGACCTAGATTTTTCTTGAACCACAAGCTTATTATTTAGTTCTCTTTTATCTTTAGTAATAGGAACCGTGGTAGGATTAACACAATCTAGGATAAAAAGACTTTTTGCGTTTAGTACAATATCACACGTAGGATTTATATTATTAGGTTTAAGTATACACACTGTAGAGTCAACACAAGCCTTTATGTTCTATTTAATTCAATATTCTGTCTCGAACTTAAATGCTTTTATCTTAATATTAACAATAGGTTACTCTCTATATTGTTATGTAGATAATGCTAAATCTACAAAGGCTATTGGAAAACAAGAGGATACCAATAAAAACAATGATAATTTAACGGATGTTAATAATTCTCCTATTCAGCTTATTGATCAATTGAAAGGGTATTATTATATAAATCCTATAATAGCCTTAAGTTTAGGTATAACTTTATTCTCTTTTGCAGGAATACCACCTTTAATAGGGTTCTTTGGTAAACAGATGATTTTAAGTGCAGCTATTGATAATGGATATATTTTTATGGCCTTAGTTGCTATATTAACAAGTGTTATAAGTGCTGTATACTATTTAGCTATAATAAAACAAATCTTTTTTGATAGACCAGATTATATTATAAACGAGGAACTAAAGGATTTTAATGCAGAGGGTTTAATAACTGAAAAAAATTTTATTTTTAAAAAAGTTAATATTAAAACCAACAACATTGTTATATCAACCTCGTTAAGTTTATCTATTTCAGTTATTACATTAGTAATAACATTATTTATTTTTATACCTGAAGAATTATTAAGTTTAGCTAATATATTAGCATTAATACTCTTTAATTTATAAATGACAAGTACAACTTTTTTTATTATCTTTATACCTATATTAGCTATTATATTATTAGCTGTTAATTTAATCTTAGCACCACATAATCCTAAAATTTGATCTGGGAAATCTATATATTGGGATAAACTATCCAATTTCGGGAACACCCTAAAGCTCTTGGTACTAAGCCATATATGAAAATATATGAGTGGCTGAACTAATTACTCAGGTATAGTAACAAGCCAAGAGATTCTTGAAAAAGTAATGGGCTATCGCGAATCTAAGTCAGTAATACGTGAAAATATTACTGTAAAAGATAAACGAGTAGACGGTAGTTGCATTGAATATTTTAATAAGAAATATTATTCAATGTTAAGGTATACTCTAGTGGACTTCGAAAGAAGTTATCAGATCAAAATCCCTTCTAACTTTATAAATTTTAAAAGAAATTTTTGTACCTTAGAATCTAAATTAAATCCTTTTTACGTCACAGGTTTTGTAGACGGTGAAGGTTGTTTTATATTAACTATAATAAAAGATAATAAATATAAATCTGGTTGACGTGTAGCCTGTAGATTTCTAATAAGTTTACATAAAAAAGATTTAATGTTATTAAATAGCATTAAAGAATTTTTTGGTACAGGTAGCGTATTCCATATGTCTAAAGACTCTGCACAATACCGTGTTGAATCTTTAGCAGGTTTAGAAATTATAATGAATCATTTTGATAAATACCCTTTAATTACAAAAAAACAAGCAGATTATAAGTTATTTAAATTAGCCGTTAATTTAATAAAAAACAAAAGCCATCTTACTAAAGATGGATTATTAGAACTTGTAGCTTTAAAGGCTGTAATAAACAATGGGATTAATAATGATTTAAGTATTGCTTTCCCAAATATTGATACTGTTTTAAGACCTCAAGTACAAGTACCTCAAATAATCAACCCTAACTGATTATCAGGTTTTGTAGAAGCAGAGGGTTGTTTTAGTGTTGTTATTTTTAAGAATAAAACATCTAAATGAGGTGAGGCAATTAAATTAAGTTTTATATTAACTCAAAGTATTAGAGATGAGTCTCTAATCAAAAGTTTAATAGAATATTTAGGGTGTGGTAATACAAGTTTGGATTCTAGAGGTACTATTGATTTTAAAGTAACCAAATTTTCTAGTATAAAAGATATCATTATTCCTTTTTTCGCTAAATATCCTTTAAAAGGTAATAAAAATTTAGACCTATTAGATTTTAGTGAAATAACAAGATTAATGGAAAATAAATCGCATTTAACTTTAGACGGATTAAATAAAATAAAACAGATCCGTAATAAAATGAATACGAATAGAAAATAACTTTAAAATTAATATATTAATTTATAAACATGAGAAATTTGATTTAAACGTATCAAGAAAAAGATAGTGTTTTCGAATGTGGTTTCCACTCATTTTTAGGGCAAAATAGAACACAGTTTAGTGTTTCATTTTTCATATTTGGATTATTGTTCTTACTTTTCGACCTTGAAATTCTTTTAGTTTATCCTTACGCTGTAAGTACAAACACTAATGATATTTATGGTTTAAGTATAATGTTAATTTTCTTTGTGCTATTAACATTAGGTTTTGTGTTTGAATTAGGTAAAGGTGCTCTTAACATAGAGAGTAGACAAAATACTTTTAAAGAACAGGGTACTAGTTCAAAAATCTTTATCTTTTTGCAACAAAACAAAACAGAATAGGATCTTTTAGTTAAGATTTTATTCAAAAAAAATCTCAATTCTCATGTCCTTTGCAGAAATTATTCAAAGGATTCTCGTAAGGGAACAGGTTTTTGGAGAAAAGCTAAATCATTAGATGAATCAGATATAAATAATCCTTTTATGTAAGTGAATAACTTTTTAAAGAAATACCCTTCCAAGGAATTAGCTAAAAAATCTATAGATTTAAATCTAATTCACTCCATTTTTCACTCACCTGATTTTAAACTAACCTTAGAAGAGTTCAATCTTTTAAGAAATATCCAACCGATATGATTTGATTTACGTATTACAGATAAATCTAAATTTATACAAACTGTTGGTAAGTATGCACGTAAAGGTACAAAAGGCGTGGCAGGTGTATATGTATTTACTAATAAAAATAGTGGGTTTTCTTATGTAGGATCTTCCATTTCTTTAGTTAATCGTTTAACTACAGGGTGTTTTTCAACCGCTTAGCTACAAGAAAAATAAGCATAGCCATCGCTGATTTAGGACTCCATTCGTTTTACCTTAATCTATATATTTTACCTGTAGAATTGCTTGAGAAAAAAACTTTTTCAGGTGAGAACGCTAAAATTTCTAAAGTAAAAAATCTTATTCTAGCTTTAGAACAAATATTTCTTCTAGAACTTAACCCAGAAGATAATGTTTTGAAGGTGGCTGGTTCACCAGCGGGTTTAAAGCGTACTCTTTAATCTATGATGCCTAGTTTTATTAAAAATTCTAAACTAGTGTATTTATATGATGAAATTAATAAAGAACTTATTTCTAAAAGTCAGACTGATTTAGGTAAAATTACTAATTCCCTGAGGGAATTTACCTTAGTAAATACCTGAAGGAATTTACCGCAGGTAAATAGTAGTATATTAAAAATAAGTACTTATAAAGCTAATGGTAAATTATATCTTAATCCATTTCTTTTTTCAAATATACCGTTAGATGGTTATACTAATAATCTAAAAAGTTCCTCAGATTTGTTAGCCTATATAAATGTTATTAAGTTAGCTGGTCCTAATACGGATTTAGTTATTAAGTCCTTTTTAGAAATAAGTAAAAATAAAAATCTTTCCAGAGTTGTCCATTTTTTTACTTCCGAAAAAGATATCTTGTTGTTACAATAACTTAAAAAGAAACAAGATAGTTTGGATACGGATGAATATGAAAGATTGGTTGCTACTCAAGTTGAGACTTATAAAAGTATAAAATTTAATTATAATCAAAAAAGAGGTTTTCATAGTTCTTCATGATTAAATTCTTTTTATTATAAAAAGATAAGATTTTATAATACAACTAGCTATAGACTTCAAGAGACAGTTGTAAGATTAGATTTTATAATACAACTAGCTATAGACTTCAAGAGACAGTTGTANGTTTTTTTTTCGACGTAATTTAGATGAAATTACTATCCCTGCCAGGATGAGCCCATAGGGGGTCTTCCCAAAGGGTCAGCCCCTTCGGGGCTGTTTGGACCCCCTCTCTCTGAAAGAGAGAGGGGGCCTAGAAAAAAAAAAGAAAGAAAAAAAAGACGTATTATGAACTTATTATTATATATCATGTTAAACTTAAATAGAAGTAATTTTCAAGCACATCCTTTTCATTTAGTATCTCCTTCTCCATGACCTTTATATACATCAATTAGCTTATTAAGCCTTACTACATCTGCAGTTTTATCATTTCATGGGTTTGCTTATGCAGAATACAATTTAATGATGAGTTTAATATCATTAATATTAGCTATGTCATTCTGATGAAGAGATGTAATAGCAGAGGGTAAACTGAACCTAGTAGGTAAAACACTTTTTAATTATAATTTGAATATAGCTAAAGCTATTCCTGTTGAGGATCTAAAAAAATCTCTTAATGATTATAAAGTTAAGAATAATATTGAAGTGTTTAAAAATAATAACAACTTAGGTCACTATTTAGCAGGTTTATTAGAGCACAAAAAACCAGGATGGTTAAAATTTTCTATTTTTAAATCTATAAATCCTTTACCTGTTACAGTGCTTTTTACAAGTAAAAGAAATAAAAGTACTTATAGGCCAGAAAATTCTTGTACGGCTTTAGTAGTTTGAGGGGTAAATCTCTACTCTGGCTTTAGAACACTAAAATTATCCAATGTGGAGTTACATATGTTTAAACTGCCAAATTATCAACAAGGTGTTCTAGTCGGTTTATTGTTATCTGATGGCTGATTGTCTTATGCTAGTGCCAACAATAAGTATCCTCGTTTTGGTTTCGAACAAGCTTTTACTCAATCTTCTTATGTATGGTCAGTTTTTGGTACATTCTCTCATTACTGCTATAGTTTACCTAGATTTAAAACTAAAAATAGAAATAATATACAAACTAGTTCTGTAACTTTTGCTACTCGTAGTATGCCTTGTTTAGTAGAGTTTTTTAATGATTTTTACCTTAACGGAAAAAAAATTGTCCCTGAGAATATTTATCATATATTAGCTCCTGTTTCTCTAGCTCATCTTATTATGGGTGACGGTACTGCTGTATCTGGTGGTATAAGAATTTGTACTGATTCTTTTACTGTGCAAGATGTAGTTAGATTAGTTAATGTGTTAATCATTAAATACAGACTTAAATGTACATTACATATGGTGGATAACAAACCTAGAATATTTATTAGTTCAAAGTCTATGGATTTATTGTCATCCATTATAAATCCCTACATTGTACCTAGTATGAAGTATAAATTAATAACACAATCTAGCATATCTAGCCAAATAAAAAAGTAAGAGAGTTTGAGCCTTTGCAAGATATTTCATCTACAAGGGCTATATGTATAAAAAACCTTCCCTCTACAGCTGTTTTTTGTTATAAAGAACCTCTAAAAGAAATTTGTATTAAGCACGCAATACCTCCGTACTTGTATAGCATTTTTATTGGTTTACTCTTATCAGAAGGTTGAGCCAATATTCACCGTAAAACAAATTCAAAAGCACGTATTAAATTCTGTCAACCTTATGTTAATAAGGAATATATTTATTACGTGTTTAGAGAAATTTATATGTATTGTGAAAAAGACCCTTACCGTTTTAATAATAACCTGAAAGGTAAACCAGTAGATGTTATGTTAATATCTACAAAATGGTTGTTCTGTTTTATTGAAATTTATTCTATGTTTTATATCAAAAATGTAAAAAGGGTGCCTTGCAATATATATGATCTATTGACACCTTTTGTTTTAGCTCATTGAGTAATGGGTAGTGGTATAAGCTTACAAGGAAGAGGAATAAAACTCTATACTAATTTTAACAACATATTCGATTCCGTTAAATTAATAAATGTATTAATGATCAAATATAGATTACGTTGTAATTTAATACTAGAAAAAGATAAACACAGTATATATATTTATCGTTCTTCATTAAATACTTTATTAATGAGTATAAAACCTTATATGTTACCTTCTATAATAAAAAAAATAATCTAATATACATATTTATATCCTCTGGGTCATATTTCTCTTCCGTCTTTAGGTGTTACAACGTTAAATAGAGTATTAAATCCTCTCCTGCGGAGCTCCGCAGGAGCTCTAAGGAGCTCCCGCTGGGAGAGAATAGTATTTACTTCACATATTAATAATTTGGGTATGTATGCCTTTATTCAATCAGAATTAGGTAACATAGGACGTTTCCAAACTTCAGGTAATAACGCTATTCGTTATATTATAGGGGATATAAAAGGTATTATGCTTTTTATTAATTTAATGCACGGTAAACTTAGAACACCTAAAAATATAAGGTTTAATGATTTAATTAAATTTATGAATGCTAAATATTCTTTGGATACACCAGAAAGTTTATTAGATAACTCTAATCTTTTTGATAATAGTTGATTTACAGGTTTTACGGAGTCTGACGGACATTTTGGAATTAAGTATCTAGAAAGAAAAACTAAATCAGATACTCGTAAAAGATCTGTTAGTGAAAGTGTTACTCTTAAATTTATATTGAATCAGCGTTTATTTGATAAACCGACATCTTCTTCTATGAAACCTTTTATGGAAGATTTAGCCTTATTTTTATCTTGTAATCTTAAAAATTATACTAATAATACAAACTCAGAAATATTAACTGTAAGTGTATCATCTTTAGAAAGTGTAAAATTTCTTGTTAATTATTTTAACAAATATCCGTTAATAGGGGATAAATTAAATGATTTTAAGAAATGAGAAATTGTTTATAATATGCTTATCAAAAAAGAACATCTTACCGATAAAGGAAGATTAAAAATTAGATCTTTAATAGGAAAATTATAAAAAAACAGTATTTACTTTATTATGTGCCCTCTTTAAATTTTACTATATGCTGAAAGTTTCTATCAAAAGAATAGAATAATCAGCAGGAAACCAAAAGACGGATAAATATCTTAGTAGAATCCTCAGAGACTACACGTAAAAAGTTAATACGTTAATTGTAATTTAGTTAACCTATTAACTATGATATAGTCCAACCAACGTGGAGACACGTTGGGTAATTTCGACATATATTGGCCATCACACGAAAAATAAATGTGGATTAAAGCTAACTTCATTTACATCACATGTAAATGCTACTTGTCTTTCTAAAGGATTACCCTTAAAAGAAAGACTGGTTAAATCAATAGTTAGAACTATTCACGCAGGTACAACAAATCAATTAGGTTATTATCTTGCAGGATTAATTGAAGGAGACGGATCTATCATACTTAGACAGGGTGAAAGAGAAAAGATTTCACCCAAAATCGTTTTTACTTTTGGTAAAAATGATATTCCTATGTATGAAAAATTACAGAAAACTTTAAACACAGGAGTTATATATTCAGAAAAAAAAGGAGTATGTAGATATAGTATTACCAATGCCGATGAGGTTATTAATACTATTAACCTTGTTAATGGTAAATTCCGTACTCCTAAGATCCTAGCTTTATATAAAGCTATAGACAATCTTAATATGTGGCGAAACGCTAATATAGTTAAATTGCCTTTAGATACTAGTAGTTTAGACTCTAATGCTTGATTAGCTGGTTTCATTGATACAGATGGCCATTTCTCTATAAAATTAACTGGTGAATACGTATCGGATGATATTGTAACACGAGGAAGGGTACAATGTGTATTCTCTATAAATCAAAGTGAATTAAATAGAGTAACAAGGGAATCCAATGTTCCTTTTATGACACAATTGGCCAATTTTTTTCAAGTTAATTTAAATAATAAAGTAGAAAATTCTCCATCTTTTAAAGAACCAGCTAAATCAATTGTTTTTTTCGCTCAATCTGACAGAAAGCATTATATTATAACTACCTATCTAACTAAATTTCCTTTAATGTCTAGCAAGTATCTTAATTATTTATCTTTTTTTGAAGGATTAAGATTTTTAGGTAAAAGGTTAACAAGAGAAGAGATACTTAAAATAAGAGCGATTAAAAGTTCTATGAATAATAGTCGTACTTATTATAATTGAGATCATCTTAATAATTTTTATTCTTAGTTTTCCACCTTTTATCTGTTTAATCTTCATTTTACTTAATGGATTAAAAAACATCCAATTATGTAAATATAAGATAAAACCTGTATATTTTCTTATTTTTCTAGGTTGATGCCCACTACTCTTTCCTATACCATCAACAAGCCGTTGAAGGTATTTTAATCTTTTATATGTATAGGTACGAATTTTTTAATATGTCGTATTAAGATGCAAGTAGAGGGGTGAAGCCTTACTCTCCCTCTCTCTGGAAACTAGTGTACAATGTCAAATTAAAAACGACATATATAGGTCATCACACCTTGGCTGTACAAAGAGGGTTAAACCTTGGTGTTGGTTTATTTATAGTATCTGAAGCTTTATTCTTCTTAGCTATATTCTGAGCATTTTTCCATAGACTAAGCACTTTGTGGATAGGAACCAAATTCCGGGAAAACCCTAAAGCTCTAATAACTAATCTTCATAAGGAAACTTATAAAGTGGCCCCATTAATGTCTGAGGGTACAGTAACATCATTAGAGATTCTTGATACAAATCAAGGAATGGGCAATCGCGGATCTAAATCAGATAGTCTTATATCTGTAAAAGAGCAACGAGTAGACGGTTCCTCAGTATTTTTTAAATACTGTAAGGTATACTCTAGGTGCCTGAGAAATTGGGTTTTTATACAATGAATAAAATATGTTAATACTCTTTTTGAATCTATACAAAGATTCTATACTAAAATTTCTTATTTTACCCTTTGGGAATGGTCCCCTTCAAGGGCCAGACCTAAAGGTCAGTCCCCCTCGGGTACTAGTAAAGCAATGTCTTCTAACTTTAATTATGCTTCCACTAATGGCTTAAATCCTTATTATGTAACTGGTTTTACTGACGGGGAAGGATGTTTTTATGTAGGTGTTAGTTCTAACCCTAGATATAAAATGGCCTATAGAGTAAAAGCTGTTTTTCATATTGGTGTACACATAAGGGATCTTGCCTTATTAGAACAAATTCAATTGTTTTTTGGTGTAGGTACAATATCTAAATTAGGAGCGGAATCTGTTCAATTTAGAGTATCTGGTTTTGAAAACTTAAAAGTTATTATGGATCATTTTGATAAATACCCTTTATTAACCAATAAACAATCTGACTATCTACTTTTTAAGCAAGTAGTAAATGATATGGAACAAGGAAGACATTTAACTGTACAAGGTTTAAATAAAATCATGTCAATTAAAGCTGTTATGAACAATAAAGGAATGTCAGACAGCTTAAATCTAGCTTTCCCTGATATAGAGCCTATTTTAAGACCAGATATTAAAGATAGAAATATAAAAAGTCTACACTGGTTAGCTGGTTTCACTGATGCTGAAGGATGTTTCTTTATAGCATTAAAAAAATCTCCAGAATCTAAGTTAGGGGAAACTGTATGATTGAGATTTATTTTAACTCAACATGTTAGAGATGAAGAGTTCCTAAAAAGTTTAATTTCAACTTTAAATTGTGGTAGATATATACCTAAATCAGGTTATGGTGAATTTATAGTTGAAAAATTTACAGATGTTTTTGATAAAGTGATACCCATTTTTGAAAAATTTAAATTACATGGTGTAAAATCCAAGAATTATGAGGATTTCAAAAAAGCGGCTTTGCTTATTAAAAATAAACAACACTTAACTCGAGAGGGCCTAGACCAAATTAAGAAAATAAAAGGAAGTATGAATAAAAATAGCCCTCGCGTCTTCTTTTAGAAGAAAAGAAGACTGGGGCTGCTTTGCTGAAAATATTAACATAGTCTTGTATAAAATTAAAAATTTAAAAACTTATCATGTTCTTTTCTATAAACAAAGCAACAAATAGTTTTTTAAAACGAGTGCTCTTTCACCTGCAGTAGAGTTAGGTGCTACATGACCTCCTATGGGAATTGAAGCTATTGATCCTTTTGAATTACCGTTAATAAATACAGTTTATCGTGTAATTATCTTATGTGCGGATAATGTAGCTGTGTTGGTGAAAACCCAACTCTGCGAGCTTAACTTAACTCTTCATTATAACTATATCGACCTACCTACTTTACTATCTTTACCTTTGTTGATAACTGGATCTTCTCGTGTACGTCTCTCTAAATCCAAGAGATTAAAGAAATGGGTGGCTAAGTATTCTTTAAATAGCGTTTGTCTTGATAAATTTTATAGATGATTCGCAGGATTCTCAGATGCTGAAGGTAGTTTCACGATAAGTCCTATACTAAACAGAAAAACAAATAAGATAGAAGTTTTTTCTTTTAAATTTACGATAGGACTACACAAAGACGATCTAGGTGTTTTAAATATTATTCAAAGTAATTTACGTATGGGTAAGATTTATTCATACACTGATAAGTATATATTTGTTGTAACAAAAATGGAGGATATTAAGAATTTAATCTCTATTTTTAGCAAATACAAATTAAATTCTAGTAAGTATTTGGATTTTTCAGATTTTAATTTAGCTTTTACTTTATATCAAAAAAGAGAAAAGTTGACAGATGAATTAATATCTAAGTTATTGGAATTAAAAAATAACATGAATACTAAGCGTATTAATTTTAATATGCCAGAAAACCATGTCTTAATTACAAAAAGTTGATTAGTAGGTTTTATAGAGGGTGATGGTTCATTTAGTATAGAAAGAGCCGCTTTTAAACCTGTACTTTCTATTAAATTATCCAAAACACAACTTCCTTTATTAGTAAAAATAAAAGAATTTTTAGAAAATAATTTAGGTTTTGATTCATATTCTATGTATAAGATAAAAAATACTTCCATTCTTTCAATAATATCGGAAAAAGCTAGAGACAAAGGTAAATCTATACCTTTAGCAGCATTAATGATTAAAAATACACATGTTTTAAATAACTATTTAATACCTTTTCTGAGTGAAGAAAAATTTATGACTAAAAAAGGTGAAGATTTTTTAGATTTTAAAATCATATGTAAGACTATTTATAATGGTGCCCACAGTATTGAGGAAATAGCCGCATTGGTACTTAAATTATCTTATACCATGAACAACTATCGGTTATCAACATTCCAAGGTACAGTAAATTACTTAAGTAAGGATGAAATGGATAGGCTGATGAATGCAAAACCTACCATTGAACACCTTAAAGATGGTCGTCAGATAGACCTTATTACAAAGAAAGTAGTACGCAGTCGTTCAAGTAGTTGTATATATGAAATAATTAAACCTTCAGGAGAGGTACTATTAATGCCTAATTTGGCTGAATCTGCTCTAATGTTAGATACAAGTTTTAAAACTTTAAAAAGACATTTAGAGGTCTTAGATAATAATTCCGATGGTTCTAAAATAGTATTTAAGGGCTATACTGTGAGAAGAATCCCAGTGTTTTATCCTATTGCTTCTGAGTAAATTAAATCATTTCCTATGTTGGAAGAAGGATCTTATATATGAATAAATAATTTATAGAGTTAAAAAAGGAGCTGAGAAAAGGTTACAACCGAATCAGTTCTGTGCTAGTAGAAAAATTAGGTGGAAACGGTTAAGGTATCCTAAACCAAGACCGTCGGCAGTTGTAAATGTCGCTACAGATTGGTTCACCGGGGCTGGGCTGAAATGCCCGTCCAAATGTACAATCGGACTTTAAGACGAGTGTGATATCGTAAGAAGTTAGGATGAACCATGCACACACAGCGGTTACGCCACTTACACGGTGGTTATATACTTCTTATTAAAGTATTCCTATGTTAAATAAACTTGTTTTGTAGTTTTTATAATACTATTTACCACAAATAAATATAATGTCTGTTAATTACTTTTTAGGTTCATTTTAATGAATTAAAAATGCAAAAAGAGTTTAACTTCCAAAGGGATACGGTAAGGTTACGCCTTTCATAAAATTAAAGTTGGCTTTTATTGGCTTCAGGGTTTACTGTTACATATGCACATCATTTTTTAATTAACGGAAAAAGAGCTAAAGCTTTAAATGGTTTAGCATATACTATTATATTAGCAACTATATTCACAGCACTACAAGGTGTTGAATATTCAGTATCATCATTCACTATTTCAGATGGAGCTTTTGGATCATGTTTCTACTTTGGAACAGGGTTAATTATAGCCCCTACTAAAAATAGTATATATATAAAAAAAGGTATATCTTATTCAAATAAATCTAACAAAATGGATCCTAATTGAATAACAGGGTTTTGCGACGCAGAGTCTAGCTTTTCCATAAGAGTTGGAAAAGACGAAAGTAGATTTAAAAATATACGTATCGCACCCATCTTTTCCATAGAACTACATGAAAAAGATTATAATTTATTGAAAGAAATTCAAAATTTCTTTGTAGTAGGTACTATCATTAAAAGAATAAAAAAAGGGAGTCCAACAGCAATATATTCAGTACAATCTATTAGTGCGTTAAAAGACATAATTTTACCTCATTTTAATCAATATAATTTATTAACACAAAAAAAAGAAGATTTTCGTTTATTCTCCTTAGTAGTACATATGCTTTACGATAATCAGCATAAAAATGAAGAAGGTTTAAACAAGATATTATCATACAAAGCTTCTATGGGTAAAGGATTGTCAAAAACTTTACTAAGTATGTTTCCTGGTATAGAGCCCACAGTAAGAAACCTAGTTTTACCTACAAAAGATTTTAATCCTTTTTGAGTAGCTGGGTTTGTTGATGGTGAGGGTTGTTTTTATGTAAAAACTTCCAAAATAAAGAAAGGCCTAGGTATTGCATATAAAGTAAATGTTTATTTTTCTATATCACAGCACAAACGTGATTTAGTTTTACTCGAAAACCTAGCAACTTATTTCAATTGTGGTTTTGTGGAAACAGTAAAAACTAGACCAACTCAATCTTCTTATGTTGTATATAAATTTTATGATATACTTAATAAAATAATACCTTTTTTTGATACATACTCTTTAAAAGGTAAAAAATTATTAGACTTTTATGATTTCAAAAAAATAGCAAGCATAACTGAAAAAAATATCAATTACGAAGAAAACAGTGACCTATTAAAAGAAATAATTCTCATTAAAAAAAATATGAATAGAAACAGATAAATTATAGTTAGTTATACTAATATATATATACAGTATTTTGTAGAAAACAGGGTAAATTGCATGAAACTCCATGATTATTATATGTAAAATAATGTGGACAACGTGCGGCGAAGCATGTATTAAATAAATGTTGCAAATAATATAAAAATATCTAGTCTCTTATTTTTTGACGTTGTTTAACTTAAATAACTGTTTGGACCCCCTCTCTCTGAGAGAGAGGGGGGCCTAGAAAAAAGAAATAACAAAAAAAATAAAAGAGATAGAGGAATACATGAAGCCTCAACGACTAGTAGATGAGTACTTTATTTACAATAATTCTACCACGAACACCCTGCGTTTATAATAACATAACTAAATAGTTTATTATAAATGAAGACATAGTCTGAACCATTTCGATAAGGAATGGAAATAAGAGATAAAGAGCTCTTATGATAACAAAATTGTCCACGGATTCATTACAGCAGTCCCTACCAATTCTTTTATGTCATTGGATAATCAATTTAGTGTAAAAAAAAAAAATTCAGTTCTTACTCTAGAATCAAATAAAAAATTAATTCATTTAGATAACAATTTTATTGATTGATTAGTAGGATTTACGGACGCTGAAGGTAATTTTAATATTAGTTTAAAAGGTTTACAAGGTAGTAAATATAATAGTTTAAATTTAACTTACCAAATTACTCTGCATATAAATGATTTATATGTTTTAGAATATATTAGAAACAGATTAAATTGTGGAAGTATTTCTAAATCAGGTGATAAATGTAATTATTTTGTAAATGATCAAAAATCACTAATAAATGTTATAGTACCTATATTTAATTATAGAGAGTTAAAGAGTTCTAAATTTTTTCAATATTTGAATTTTAAAAAAGCAGTTCATTTATTAATAGATAAAAACCATTTAACTCTTAAAGGTAAAATAGATATCTTACAATACTATCATGATATGAAACTTATAAATCAAAAATCTAAAGCTAGAGAAAATATGATTATAGATGAGTACTGATTAATAGGATTCACAGAAGGAGATGCGACTTTTAGTTCAAATAAATTAAAACCAAAAATAAAGTATGAAAATCACATAAAAGAATTAGAATTATTTAAAAGTATTTTAAATTACTTAAAACATGGTAATTTATATACATCCGATAGAAAGTCAGCTGGTTCTGTTATATTAGAAATTAATAATATTAATATTTTAATGAACAGAATAATACCTATTTTTTCTAAAGGTATGTTGACTAAAAAATCTTTAGACTTTGAAGATTGATCTATCATGGTTAAAATTACTTATTATGGGTACCATACTTTAGATGAAGGTAAAGAATTAATTCATCTCATTAAAGCTAATATGAATAATTTTAGATTAAATCCTGATTTTCTTACAAACTATGATCAAAATAAAGCGTTAATCGAGCAAAAGCTAAATTATCTATTATCGTTGCCAAGGCCTTATGAAGTAAAAGAGGGAATTTTATTTTTAAGAGGTACTGATAAATTAGTGTCGAAATTTTTTAAAATAAAAGTAGAAAATACTAATGGTAAGATACAATATTTTACTAGTATATCAGAGTGTAGCTTAAATCTTAACATACCTAGTAAAATAATTAAAAATTGTTTATTATCAGGTCTTCAGCATAAAAATTACACGATTAAATTTGATACCATTATTGAATAGAGTTGACAGAAAACAGGATAAATTGCATGAAACTTCTACTTCACCATTCATATGTGTTTATGTAGGACAATATGCAGCCAAGCATATATTAAATAAAAATTAAAAGGAATATATGAAGGTTCAACGACTAGTAGGTGAGTACTTTATTTACAATAAGCCTACCACGAAAACCTGCAATCATTTATTGATTGATGACATAGTCTGAACCCTTTTGAAAAGAAAGGGAGGTAAGGGATAAGGAGCCCTTACGTTAACAATAATTGTACATGTTATGATTGGTACAGCATTTTTAGCTGTTGGTTTATGACGTGTATTAGCATACCATCTAACAAATAACCATCATCTAGGATTAGAAGCCGGAATACTTTACTGACATTTTGTTGATGTTGTATGATTATTCTTATTTGTATCCATATATTATTGAGGATCTTAATGTTTAACAGGTTTTTACAATAAACATGTTATGGAAACTGTTCGCTTGTGTTTAAAATACATGGGGCAAAACTATAACAAATTCCAATAGATAGATATTTTTTGCTGGAAGATTGCAAGATAGATTTATATTTATAGCAATCGGGCAGAAGATGAACTTAGGTCTGGTAAAGACTTATATCTTCCCCCGTATTGGGGGAGGAAAAATAAAAAGAGAATGAAAGGGATTCACCCCATTAGGATAGCATTCGGCTTTTTAGTTTATAAAAAGAACAAGGTTAAGTGTTCAAATCACTTATTTCTCATTATTCTTTAAGTATATGTAATCATTCTAAAATATACTTTATATGCTATTTAATATTACAAAATAATAGCAATCTATTAAGAATGTACAATGTTTTTAAAAAAACTTATAATTTTCATTGCTTTGCCCTAATTTATACCAATAATTCATAATAACATTCTATGTTAAACATATTCAAAAATAAACAAAATAATTTTAATGATAAATCATTAAATACTAACTATATTATAGAAAAAAGTAATAAAATACAAAGTAATTCTGAAAGAGATGAATATAATAATATTATTTTTCACCATTCTTCTAGTAAAGAATGATTAAGTAGTGTATACTCTTACAATAAATCCTACTTAAAATCTTTAATAAGTAAAGATGCAGTATTAAATACATTACTTAGAAGTTATTGTAATATGTTACAAGATAAAATAAAAATTCTCTTTAAACGTAGACGTGATAACAAGATTCGTTATTCAGCCAATAAAATCTATGCAAGTAGAGCTGAGCTAAAACATACTAACACTAAACTTTTTATTACGTTGTATTTATACAATAAACAAAAATCATCTATTGAGTGATATTTATTAAAAATTCTTGTACTTGTAAAATATAGAAAATTAATAGTTGATGGAGATAAAATATTTTTGGATGGAGGTCTAATAGCCAACGGATCTAAAATATTTTCGGAATATCTTACACCTACAAGATTAGAAGATTTTAGACTATTTTTAGCTGAAAATCTGATGGTTGGTGGAAAAAAAATCTTTTTAGAGGATCGTTCAGAAAAATATTTTACACCTACAAGATTAAAAACTATTAGATGAGTTAATTTTTATAAAAATAAAATAAAAAGAGGATTTGTACCAAACCATAAAAACAGAATACCTTCCTTATTAAAGAATAACTTTTTCATATTTAGAAAATGAAATATGGCTTTCTTTAAAACAAATAACAACTTAATTAGATACTTCCTAGTAAATTTAAGAAGAAAATACCTTAAATTAAGTAATATACCTACTTATAACATTAGACTTTTAAAAAAATTAGTTAGATTACAAAAAATATTATTTAATTCATTAAAATTGCTTAATTTTAATAAATCTAAATTTAATAGCTTAAATCTAAACTTAAGAAATTTTGGTTTAATTAGTTTAATTGAAAAATTGTATAACAAAAAGGTAGAAATTAATTTAGTTGAATTAAGATCTATACATTTAAACAGTGACGTTTTTTCATCAGCAGTAGCTCTAAAATTAAGAGATAGGAAAAATAAAGCAGTAAGAGTTTTAAGAAAAGCTATCTTACAAATGGTAAGAATACCTGATTTACATACACTTATAACATTCGATGATAATATTGAAGCAATGAATAAAAACAATATTATAAACACTATAAAACAACAAGTAGTAAGTGGTGTAAGATTTGAAGCATCAGGTAGATTAACAAGACGTTTAACTGCTATGAGAGCAGTATTTAAGTATAGATATGCAGGTAGCTTAAAAAACATACGTTCCTCATTTAATAATAAATCATCTACTATGCTAAGAGGTTACGCTAAATCTAATGTACAATATACCCTTATTAATTCTAAGACAAGAAATGGTACTTTTGGGTTAAAGGGTTGAGTTAGCAGTCATTAATTAATGCTAACTAGATTTTTCACATTTTATAGAACAATATATTTACTTAATATTGTGTATATCTTTATATACCTACAGCTATATTAGTTGTATTTTTATCTAGTCCCTGATGGGTAGAAAAAAGAACATGTTCTTTTTTTTTTCAACCCTTTTTTTATTTTTTTCGACGTAATTTCGAGTCTTCGAATTTACTAAAAAAAGATAAGAGGACTAGTAGTAATTATAAAATATAAAAGTATAAAATTACTACTTCTATGCCGAAAAAAAGGATAGACCGCAACAGATATCCATTATCTGTTGGAAGGCATATAATTTATTTCCATCATATAAATTTTTATATAGATATAATTTTATTTCCATGATATAATCTTTTATAAACATATGTTTACTTTCTTTTCTATTATAGGATCTATGTTATTATACTTACAATATATAGAAAAAATATTAGAAAAGTTACTTAAAAAAAATATAAAAAAGCTATACTATAATATATTATACGCATCCAAAAAATTTTTGTTGTAGTATTATATTTAAAATATTACACATTTAAATTTATAAAAATATATCTATTTATTAACATATATTTATTTAATTTACAAAAAAGGTATATTACAAGGCATTATCACACTTTGTTAATCTTAATCCATCTCAGGATTTAGCTTATTAAATAACGCCCTCTTTCGATTTATTACATATCCCTTTGTTGGGGGCTATTGGAGTACACCTTACACTATTACACTATCCCCCATACGTATTCGAATTTTTTCAATGAATTCAGGACTGTGTGTTTTATATAAGAAATAAGGATTTTCCGTTATTATTTTACTCATTAACTTTTTAGTTGCTTCCGTATGTTTAGAGCCTGCTCTAGGTTTACCAGTAATTGGATCTATATTATACTTATTTATGTAAAGATCTAAATACTTTTGTTCTAATTCAATTCAATTTGCATAATGTTCAGCTTGTGAGTTATAAGCTAGCTCTGAAATATTTACAGGTAATATGTCTAAAATAAAGTAAAATTATTTAAGCCATGTTTTTTTAAAGCATTTTGCAAATAGATATTAGAGTTTCGATTTTTTTTTCCAGATGTTCTACCGTTCTTATAGATAAATTAATAGAACTACCTACATATATTTTGCTAGTATTATTATACTTAAATGCGTATATACCACTTAAAGAGTTTAAATCCTTGTTTAATAGTTCTATTGTAGATTATTCGTGAAGATTTGTATAATTTCTCAAAGGAGTTGGATCTCCATTTTCCTCCTCAGTAGGTGGTGAACTTTTTGTTGTAAAAGTAGCTATACGTAGATAAAAATACATTAAAGTAAAGGTATATTAACAGGCATTATTTCAAAGCTGTATAATATACATGGGACTAGTATAATAAATGCAATTACTATTGGTAACAGAACAGTTCAACAGTAGGACATAAGTTGGTCGTAACGTATACGTGGGAATGAGGCTCTCGCTCAGATAAATGTAAATACCATTATACAAGTTTTAAGACCTATTACCACACCACCTATAGTTGTTCCTATTACTGAATTGTAATTATCAAAGTCAATTACATTAAAATTAGTTTCATTTTCTGTTAAATACATATAACTATCTCCTGCAATAAATTGCAGTAAATAAAAGTAAGGATATAGATAATAGTTAAAGTCAAACAGATAACCACCTAAAAATAAAATACTATTTAAAATACAAATAAGAATTATACTAGCATATTCAGCTAAAAAGAAGAATACAAAAATAACAGCGGAATGCTCTGTCATAAACCCACTAACTAGTTCTGATTCCAATAAAAAAAAAGATATTAAATACACATTAATCTTCTATAGGTTTAAACCGATATGTGTTATTATACACAAGACCCAAGTTTAAATATTTACCCACTGTAACCTTAGAAATACTTAAGTGTTTAGCTAACTCTACATTATTTTTAAACTTTGAAATTAAATTGCCATCTAGATCATATAAACCTACACCTAAAGGGTATTTACTCTTTCTTTCACTTATTATAAATCTAGTTACTTCACTGTGTTTTCTTCCAAACATTGGATTTAACTCACCAGGTTTACTGATTAAAGCAAGCGCTTTTTTAGTATGAGTTTTACCAAACATAGGGTGATTTGTCTTATTTTTATAATACTCTGTCATCTTTAGTCTAGCTTCTTCAGTATGTTTATAACCTAATGAGCTTGTAGCATTAGCCTTAAAATTATAAAGAGTATCAAAATGAAATTTTTTTATATAACTGGTTTCCAAATCAGTTAAAGCTTTAAAACTTATAATTTTACTTTCATATGTAAAATGTTCATATATATAAAAATGAAATTTATCTAAGCCATACTTAACAAATGATTTTTGTAAAGCAACGTTAGACTTTTTATTGTTCAGATGTTCATTAAGCCTTAAATAAAAGTCTTTGGCACTTCCGATGTACTGATTACCATTTTCAGTGTTAATAAAAGAATAAATACCTGCTTTGCCTTTTAATAATTCTCTATAAGATGTAATGCAATCTTTATTATCTAAATCATCAAGAATTAAAATAGGAACAGGATATAGATCAAATGATGGAGGATTTGAATTTGAAGTAGAATAATGTCTACGGCTAGCTACCGTTCAAACTTTTTGCTTAGGTTTGATAATATAAGCTACATGTGTTATGTTACTTGCCTCTAAGGTAAGCACAGTAGGATGAATGTTTGAATTTAATTTCAATTTTTATTTTGTATTTTCATACAAAATTGGACTATATCTTATTTAACATAAATACTTACATTAAATGACCACGTGTAGTCTCTGAGGATTATAACATACTATATGTTAAATTTCCTGCTGATTGTCCCTTTTTATTAATTAATAGAAAAGGTCGAAAAAGGGGGTTTTCAGCATATGGTGATCTTTAAAGAGACCAAATCAGTAGCCTCTGCCAAGTCAAAAGGTGCTCTATTTGTTTCTGCTATAGATCCTATGAAAAATACAATGAATATAGGAAATAAAGGTACTACATATCAAATAGCTCTTTGAGCCTCTATAATAACAGTTATGTCTAAACTACCTGCTAATAATACTACTAAAAGTATAGCAGAACTTAAAATTAATTCATAACTAATTAATTGAGCTGTACTTCTTAATGATCCTAAGAATGCATATTTAGAATTAGCTGATCATCCTGCTAATAATATACCATATGTAGCTAATGAAGACACAGCCAACATATATAATATACCCAGATTATAGTCTAGTAACACTAAACCAGGACCATACAAAAAAAAGTTTTTAGTAAAAAAAATTTACTTACTTCTCCCCCTGTTCATTCCCCCTTGAATTTCAATTATTTTTAAGGCACCTTCTAATTTATGTTCTTTTTTATTTACTATGTCCGAAACTAAGCATCAATCATTAAAATCTAGGGATTTAACACCTAGAATCGGATTTTTAATAAAGAAAGGTATAATTATTTCATTAACGACAGAAAATTTTGTAACTTTAAAATCTATTGTATTTTCTTTTTTTCTTAAATAACAATATCCACAATTAAAATATTCTTTAATTGCAGTTAATAATACCTCATCTTTTTCATGCTGAGTTATTTTAAATAATAGAGATTTAAAGATACCCTTGTCTAAAGAAACAGAAAAATTACCTTCAGCTGAAGTAAACCCAGCTATTCACTGTGAATGTGGTATTACACAGGTTTCTCTTAAAGGACGGGGAACTGGAACAGTTTCGGGGAACATTAATTGTAATTCTTTTGATAAACCAAAGTTTAAGGTTGCTTTTATATTAATAATCTTTTGTAAACCTTGTAAAGTCAAATGTTCTTTCAATTGAATAATAGATAGAATTTGTTTAAATAATAAATAATCTCCTCTTTTTCGAGATATTAAAGGATATTTATCAAAAAATAGAATTAATTCTATTAGCTGACTTAATTTTTTGACTCTAAAGGCACAAGAAGACTGGTTACTACTTACAGTACCAATTCCACCTAAACTACGTTGGATTCTTAATAAAAGCGGATAATCTCTAATATGTAGTTTAATTTGAAAAATTGGTTGAACTTCTCAACCAAATTTATAAGAGGAACTTTTTAAGACACTGCAAGAAAAACAACCTTCACCGTCGCTAAACCCTGTAATAAATCAAGGATCGATTTGTAGATCGTTAATCTTATGTTTATTATTACTTAATGTAGCATAATAACGACGAGTATTAACGTTTAAAGAATTAAAACCAATTAATGGTGAATCGTAGAAAATTTTTCTACACAAAATCATAGCTTATTACTAAGCTCATTAGAATACATCTTAAATATATTACAAACATCCACCCCGGAGGGGTGGATTCTCCTAGTCCCCAAAAGGGGGACTGACCTTTAGGTCTGGACCCCTGAAGGGGACCATCCCAAAAGGATAGCTGTGGATATTGTAAATATCTATAGACGTTTACTCGTTGCTCTTTTACAACTGCAGAATAATATCTTACAACTGATTTAGATCCGCGATTGCCCATTCCTATTACTAGTCCCTAGTTCACTTATTTATGCTACTAAGTTTTGCAGAATTAAGCATACGGAGTAAGCATATGTAGGCTATTATTTATAGCCTACGTAGCCTAGGAAACCTAAAAAGTAACTAGAATCATCTGGCTTATTACCTTACCTGAGTAATTACTTCAGCCACTTTCAAACTTTCGTTTGAAGTTTGGTACCAGAAGCTTTAGGGGTTACCCGGAATTTGTCTATATTACCCTATAGTCCTAAGGTATTACTGCATATCCAAGTAATGAGAAGATTAAAGTTATAACCGGACCAAGGAAAAATAATACTATATTGGCTTGTGTAGGAGAAACATACTCTTTTAATAAAAGTTTAAGAGCATCGGCAAATGCTTGAAGTAGACCATATCAACCCACTGCATTAGGTCCCAATCTTCTTTGCATACTAGCCATTGTTTTTCTCTCAGCTATAGTTACAAAAGCTACTGTTAGTAAAACAGGTACAGTAACAGCCAATACTTCAAGAACAGAAATAATCGTTGGAAAATATAACATTTTAAATTAAAAAAAAATGATATTAAAATTACATATAAAAGTTTATTTTAATAAATCAAGGTAATTATCTATTTAACTTGGGCAGGTTATATATTTTAGAATAAATAATGATTTTATAGTGTATAAGCATATACATAATAAGTAAATAAAATAAAAGATTCGAAGATTAAACCTTCTTCTTTTTATAAACTAAAAAGAAAACCCGAATGCTCTCCTAATAGAGTGAATCCCTATCACTATCTTTTTATTTTTCCTCCCCCATACGGGGGAAGATAAAAGGGCTTTATTAAACATCTGTTTATCTTCTCCCCTAATTGCAGTTTACATCAGGTAACTGCAATTTTCCAGCTAACTCTAAAGATAGATCTACTGGGATTTGTTATGTGATTAGCTAATATAGTCCTATAACATAACAAGTTAATGGTAATTTAACCGTTATTATACTATTCTGTGCATAATCGTTAAGAAAATAAAGCTTGAGCAGCTTCCATACCATCAGCAAGAATCTCTGCAGCTTCCTTTGCTACCATTACAGCATCTTCTTTAATCATATTAATATTTTCAACTTCACTAGCTGTAATATTTGGTGCTTGTAACTCTGAGTTTGCCATATTCAATACTTGTTCTTTCAAATTTGTAACCACTTCTTTTTTTTGTTCTACCACTTCAGCTATCTTGTTCATTTCATTATTTGACCCGTCTGACATAACATCAACATTTGCCTCTTCTGCCAAACCATCAATACCAGGTAATCTCCCAGTATATTGGGACAAACGTGTTAATGCCTCCTCTAGGCCAGAAGAACTTTATAAACTATCACCTTTGAAGCTAATAGATTTTTCTTTACTTTGAAACAATGCTAAAGATAAAGAGATAACTAATACTAATATAATATTAGAACTATTAATATATGAACTAAATAAAAGATAACCGATTAACCCTATTAAGATATATAATGCATAAGATGTAATAACACCAGTATTTAATCTAGCAATGTTATTACTTATATTTAATAGTCCTTTCTCTAACCCATAAGGACCTAAATACTCTACTGATCCTTTATCTATTACTTTAGTAGTCTGTCCACCAAGTTTTAGTACAATACCTGTAATATATCTGTTGTAAAATAGCTCTATTAAGAAACGTTGATTAAAGAAACTAAATATGTTGTAACCTACTCTAGATAATTTAAAGTAAATTAGTATAGTAGATAAGTATTCAGACAACACTATAGCAATTACACTTAATGAAATAGTGAATAGTAAAGGTAATAATTTAAATAGAGTTGGTACTCCAAATTCAGTATCTAACATTATCTCATGAGAAGGGTGTATAAATAAAGCATTATCCGAAAAGAACCCTGAACCCAATCCTATAAACATATCCTTTGTTATATACCCAAAGAATATAGAGAATACAGCTAAAATCATTAAAGGTAAGCTCATAAAGATATCACCTTCATGTGCATTTTTATAATTGATTAAAGGTCCATTAGGATTAGCTAAGAATGTTAAATACAACACTTTTACAGAATATAATGTAGTAAACATTGCTCCTATAGTAGCTATTATATATACAACAGTACCAGAGAAATAATACTGACCATAAGCAGACTCAAGAATAAAATCTTTTGAATAGAACCCTGTCATAAATGGGAAAGCTACTAAACTTAAAGAAGCTATAAGCATAACTGAATAAGTAAGTGGTAAAAATGGTCTTAATCCACCATATCTTCTAAAGTCTTGATTATCAGCTACAGCATGAATTACTGCTCCAGCACCTAAGAATAAAAGCGCTTTATAGAACGCATGATTAACTAAATGGAATAATGCCACGTTATAAGAAGATAAACCTACAGCTATAACCATCATTCCAAGCTGGCTCATTGTAGAATAAGCAATAACTTTTTTAATATCTTGTTGGAATAAACCAATTAGAGAACTAAATACTGTTGTAATTGCACCTAATCATAAACATAACATTAGCACTGTTGAACTATATTCTATTAAAGGAGATGAACGCATTAATAGGTAAACACCTGCCGTACATTTGTGTTGGCTATCCTTAACTATAAGGAATAGCGCGCCATATCTTTAGACATGGATCGGACTATATCTTTAACTTATAAATTTATTGACGTCTTTCGTTAAAAGATCTATTTTATTTAGTCCTTCTAACGTAAGATGTTTCTTATTTAATACCATATCATGTATTTTACATCATTTAGTAAATGAAAGAGATTTTTTTGTTTTTAATTTGTATCTAGAAAAGTAATTTATGATAACCTTAAGTTTAGTAAAGGATGAACAATGAAAGGTTCAACCATCTCAACTTTTATCGTAGCTAACATTTTTTAAATCTAAAGAATCAGTATTTAAAAATACATCACGAAGTGTTTTAATAATATCAAATTCTTTTTGAGAAACTTGAAATGTTAAATGCGGAGCTCTTCTAAGTTTGGATGTAGAACAATTCTTAACTCTACCATAAAAACAACCTTCTGCGTCTACAAAGCCAGATATTCAACCTGAATGTAAACTAGGTTTAACTAACTTATCTTTAAAAGGAATCTCCATATGATATTGTTTGTTATATGTAGTTAATCATACTTTAAATTGTTCTTTTTTATAATGAGTGCATAAATTACCATTAAATATATGAATTAATCTAGTAAAGTTTTCTTTTGAAGAAACATAAAAAACTCCTACATTTCTATTTTCCTCCTTCCTCATTAAAATTTTACCAAATCCTAGTTCTTTTTTTATATAATAAAGAACTTGTATATCCGAAATACTTTGAGTTATATCAAAATAGATTTTATCCTTAGATACAATAAAAGAACCATCTCCCTCTGTAAAACCTATGAATCATTGTAAAAACTGTTTGTTGACTTTTTTTTTATGTTGAGGTATTAAATTAGAAAATTCATTAAATTCATAAGTTATATCACGTGTAGCCTCTGAGGATCCATCGTCATCCGACGACGTTTCCTGCTGATTAACCCCTTTTAGAATAGAAAAACCTCTTCTAAAACACAAGATTTTCTTATTTATCTTATCTAAGGGTAAACTTAAAATATAAATAAACTTGATGTAAGGTGATCCCAGCATATAGTGATATCATAATTGATTAACTCATTAATCAACGGCTACATTCTTTGTTAAATAGTCAAGTAAATAAATTACAATATACGTTAAATCATCTAGTCATCTTTAAAATTTTCTTCCTGTATTCATTCCATCCACTAAATCTTTTAATTTCTTCAAACCCTCAGGAGTTAAATGTGCCTTGTCTTTTAACAAAAAAACACCTTTACAAAAGTCTAAAAAATCTTCATATTTTGCTCCATATATAGTATGGGTTTGAAATAAGGGTATAATTATTGTAATTAAATCTTTTAAATTTGCTACAGATATTGTGTATCTATCTCTGTCCCCACTAGGTTTTACAATAGTACCACAACCCATAGATTCTATAATTCTATTTAAAACAATTAAATCACGTTCATGTTGAGTAATACGGAATTGAGGCTGACAGGTAAATCCTAATGTCATTCTGGCTTGTTTAATATAATTTAAACCAAATGTACCATCTGCTTGTGCAAAACCTACTATTCAATTAGGATCTAATTTATCTTTTGGAGAAACAAACACTGGTTTATTTATAGGAACAATATTCGGATAATTGTCTAATAAACTAGAAGATAACCCTTTAGGGAACACAGATTTTATGGATAATATCTTTCTAAACCCTTCAGGAGTTAAATGCTCTTTTTTCTTAATAATATCTAATACTTCACATCATAATCTAAAATGAACATCTTTAGTGGTTTGAAGAGGGTATTTTTCAAAATGTTCCCTAACCACATTTAAAGATTTTATAGATGATATTTCATAAATATGCATATTTCCTGATTTACTAATAGACCCTTCTCCATTAAAATATTCCTTTATTCTCTCTAAAAGAATTAAATTTAAAGAATTTTGTTCAGCTCCAATAGAGTATACTATACTTGATTGATACCCTATTGGGCTATTTAACAATTTACGTATACGTATAGAAAAACTACCTTCTCCGTCAGTATAACCTGTTACGAATAAAGGATGTAATTTATTACTTGACTTTGTACTAAAAAATTTTTTTGTAACCATGGTTGCCGTTTTCGTAACCTTTACCCTTGGTATATATTAGATTAAAATATTACACATTAAGGGAAAGCTGGTTATATACAATAAAAGTAAATTTATTAAGAATTGCTATTATTATTTACTTTTACCACCTGTCTCCAGGCTGCTAGAGTATACCTTAACTGAGAAAACTCAGGCTCTACCGTCTACTCGTTGCTCTTTTCCTACGATATATTTATATCGTAAGGTTAGATCCGCGATTGTCCTTTCTTTTCATCATTTAGTGGTTGTTACTATACCCTAATCATTACAGTAGGCCATATTTAAACTTTTCATTAAGTACTTAGTACACTAAACATCGGAGTTCCCCGGAGTTTGGTAGAATTATTCGCCTATTATTAGTTGCTTACACTATACTCAGCGTGTATTAATGCAGAAACGGGTGTAGGCAAATTGGTTGATTTATGCTATATGTAGATCAATGTCTACACTAATACGGCACAAATACTCAACAACTCACGTTATTGTTCGGACTATATCATCAATTACATTATTTGTTTATGAATTTAATTTTATCTTTTATGATTTCTATACCTGATTCAGTTAAATGTTTTTTATCTTTAACCAGATGATATACTTTTAACCATCTCGAGTATGAAACATGTTTTTTAGTTTTAAGAGGATAATTGTGTAAATATTTTAATATTTTATTAAGTTTACCAAAATTAACTACAGTATTATAACCATCATAGCTTTTTATGTGTGTTACATAACCATCTATTAGGTTAGCAAGGAGTTTACTAAATTCCACATCATCTTTTTGAGAGATTACGTATCTTACAGTAACTATATGTTTACCTGTTTTACTTAAATAGGCAGAACTAGTGAAACATCCTTCTGCATCTGTAAATCCAGATAATCATGCATTACATAGATTTACTTTTTCATTTGATTCTATATGTATAATATTCGTTTTATATTTTAAATTAAAAGCTTCTAATCATGATTTAAACTGAGATTTTTTATTTTTAGTTATTAAGTTACCATTGAATATCTTTATTATTTTTAAAAGATTATCTTTATCTCTAACTCTATACTGATGAGTTTTGTTTAATTTGCTTTGTACTGTTACGGATCCAAAGCCTAATTCTTTTTTAATGTAGAATAGTACTTGTGCATCTACGCTAGATTGTGTTACTTTAAATAACCTCTTTTGTCTACACTAAATACTCCATCTCCTTCAGCAAATCCTATTAATCACCATTCAAAAAATTTTTTATCATCTAATGTAATTGCTTCACGTGTAGTCTCTGAAGAGCCCAAATTATTCATTCGGTTTCCTGCGGATTGTCCCTCATTCTGGATTTTTCCGAAGCTTACAAAGTAAACAGTGGACCATAATATAAAAACGGGATGTTCCCGCATATAGTGAAGTTTAAGGAAGGCCCTATTCAAACCCTCCATCGCCATAGGTAGTCATACGTGAAGTCCTATTTGAGAACTTTTAGCCATAGCTCCAATTAATAAACATATACCTACAATAGTAACAACATTTTCATTCATGTATGGAGCTAATGAGAATACAGTTGCATAATCTAAATTACCAAACCCTCATAAAATCGCAAACATACCTATTGTTAAAAAACAATCACCTACTCTGTTAGTTAAAAATGCTGAAAGAGAACTTTGATTTGCTGCTATTCTAGTAAATCAGAAACATACTAAAAGATATGAACAAACCCCAACACCCTCTCAACCAACAAACATTAATAAATAGTTATTAGCTGTAACTAATATAACCATCATAAATGTGAACAAGCTTAAATAGCTAAAGAACCTTTGATTGTGCTTCTTATTAAATTTGTCATGCAATTTGTCTAACTCAGGTTGCTTATGGAATGGTCTGGGAAGAAAATTTATGGCCGTCTCTAAAAACTAAAGTTAAATTATAAGTTAAAAGAATAGATATTTATTCTTTAAATTTATTTAGCGTCTGCGAAGCCGGTGTATTATACCCAGCTAAGATTACTTCCTCATTACTCTCTCTCAAACTTCTACCGCTATTCATACCTAATTTAATTTCTCGTATAGAATTCATACCTTCAACCATTAGGTGCGAATTATTAATCATTAGTTGATGAATTTTACATCAGTTATGATAATCTTTAGATTTAACACCAACTAAAGGATTTTCCTTAAAAAGAGGAATGATTCTCTCGGTAATTAAGGAAAAATCTACTATACTTAAATGAACAGCCGAGTTAGTATATTTATATATCTTACCTCCACCTAAATAGTCAACTATTTTTTCCATCAATTTAATATCTCTAAGGTGTTGGGTTATTCTAAATCTTAACTGAACTCTATAACCTGTTTTATTATTTGTTTTAGGTGTACGAACGTCGAAGTTTCCTTCAGCACTAACAAAACCTGAAAGCCAAGAAGAGTTTATAATTGGATTGTCACAATAAATGACTGATCTATCCATTACTCTATATCTAGGAAACTCTAATTTTAATTTATCGGATAAACCTAAATTCATAGATGCTTTTAGATTAACTATTTGATTTAAACCTTCAACAGTAAGATGAGCTTTATTATTAATTAAATCTATTACCTGTTTAAAAAAAAAGAAATCTACGGATTTTTGAGTTAACAATGGATATTTTTCTAAAAGAAGAATAAGTTTATTTAAATCTTCCATTGAGCTAATCATGTAATTAACAAACTCTCCTTTCCGAACTATATAGATGGCACCAGCACCACCCAATAAAAGCTGTAACTGAGATAATACATCATGATCTTTTCTGTGTAAACCTAGTTGAAATTTTGGTTCAACACGTCAACCCAATTTTCTTTTTGCGTCTTTAACTAAGAATATAGAAAAAGAACCTTCTCCATCTATTAAACCAGACCAAACCCCAGGATTTACCGAAGTAAATGTAGAATAATTTACTTTACCCTTTAACTTGCCCCCTAATAAGCTTAAATATACGCAACCTCTAACTTTGGGACATTTATATAAATGTCCCAAAAAAGTAGGCATAGGGGAGACAGGTTCAAGACAGAATTGCTTAGACGGGATTTTAATACGTGAGCTTCAGCATATTTGATGATTGAAGCCGTGGTTTATACCACTTTTTCTTTCAAAATTCTTTAGAATACACCTTAAATCAGTTAAACTTGACTTAACCGATCAACTGCCGTCTACTCTTTGCTCTTTTACAGTTGCAGAATAATATCTTACAACTGATTTAGATCCGCGATTGTCCATTTTGTTTTCACAAATCTTAAGGGTTGTTACCTTATCTGAGTAATTACTTCAGCCACATATAATTTTTCAACTACAGTTTGGTACCTTAAGCTTTAGGAGTTCCCCGGAATTTGACAGTTTATCCCCACAGAAACGTTTTCCCTCAACGTAACCTCGAGGATCCTCACTCATATATCCTATAGAATAGATATGCACCAAAGAAGAAACTATTAAAACAGGAATAAGCATAGAACAACCTTAGTTAACCTGGCCTTAATGTCACCTCTATACAGAGGAATAGACATTAAGAGTATTTTTGATACTTAGGAGTTTATTACCTTTGTGGTAAGGCTATCCACTGTGCGTAGTGTTTTTTATGATAAATATTTCCTCCCTACGATCTCGCACTCGTTCTAAGGTCCGACTGTACATTCGGACAGACATTTCAGCCTAACCCCGGCGAACCAGTCTGTAGCGACATTTATTACTGCCGACGGTCTTTAAGTATATCCTTATTAACCGTTTTCACCCATTTATATAAGTATAGAATTGTTCGATAATAATCTTACTCAATTCCTATTAATTCTACCTAGCCTGACTAACTTAGTTACACGGCTATTCATATTCCTTCGTTAATATAAAAATATATCCTTATATTAGTTCAACTATGATAGGTAGACAGCCATTATATTCATACAACGGCTGTATGTTTATTCCTTATCCCTATTATAAAGGCTGCTAGATGTATATTTGTGTATATCCTTACAATAGTCCACCGTCGCTCATTAAGTATGCAACTTTAATTGACAGCTAGTCATATTGTTTTGAGGAGACTAAAAAGAAAAATAAAGATAAATAATTACAAAAGATAAATAATTACAAAAGGGGCTAGATTAAGAAGTTAGGAGTACATCTAAGAAAAAACACATACTCTTTTAATTTTATGATTTTTAATTTCTATGAACTCCCCATTTACTTGTTCACTATCTAAGTATTTACTTAAAGTGTCAGGGTATAACCCTACAATTGCAGCAGCTTCGGTTAAAGAATTCGCCAATAAAACCGCACCATCTTGTTCACATATTTGATATATACAAGAAACTTGTCTTGGTAGTACTTTTTTAGTGTCACGATCTATAACTCTTCCATCTAAAAGACGTTCAACTGTAGATCCTGCATTTAATAGTTTTTCTATTTCTTCTTGAGTTAAAGCTACAGCTATACCTTTATAAGTTGACAATCTAAAATTATTCATAGTATTAGATAATTTTAATAGTAAGGCTCTTATATCTTGTTTTCTGTGTGCCCCATCGTATATAGCTTTACAAATTATTTTAAAATCCTTAAAATCTATACCTTTCTTAGTTAAAAATTCCATATCCGCAAAAAAAGGTACCAAATAATTATTTAAAACATTAATGTTTTTTATAATAAGTGTTACGCTACTTTTGCTATTAGCATTTCTAGCCTTTACTTCAGCTACTGCTATGGTTGAGGAGTTTTTTAGTTTATAGAAGGAATATGAATCAAAACCTAGATTATTTTCTAAGAATTCCTTTATTTTCACAAATACCGGTAGTTGTACTCCGGAGACTTCAATGGCAAATACAGGAGTTAAACTATCTCTTTTTAAAAAAAAAGACCCATCTCCCTCAACGAACCCTAGCAGTCAACTTTTAGTTATTACGATTTCAGAATCATTTGGTCTATCAAAATTTATACGACTAGTATTCATTTTATTTTTTAATTCTAAAATTGTATCTTTTATCATATAAGGATTTAAATCTTCAGATCTATTCGAATAAAAATGGAAAGCTTTCTTAAAATCTAAATAATCTAGATATTTGGAAGTATTTAAGTTATATTTATCGAAGATATCAATTAATAAAGCAATACCTTTTTTATCTGTAACACTAAATATACATTCATCTTTATAAATACGAACTCCTCCGATTCTTAATCTGTCTTTAATATCTCTTAAAACCTTTTCGTCATCTTTATGTAATGCTATTTTAAACATGAATGAAAAACTAGAAATAGTAAATTTATCTTTTTTTAAATGACTATTAATGGTAAAACTTCCTTCAGCGTCTGTGAATCCTACAAATCATTGCAGGAATTCAGGGTTAATAGCACCTATCTCCTGTTCGGTTTGCTTTATGTTATTAATAGTTGAATAATGAATTTTTTTACGGTTCGGGAAAGTGCTCGTAAAGGGGTATTTACATCTAAATCCTTTTAGTCCATATGAATTAGATGGACAGGGAAGATAAGCAGGGTTATTTTTAGTCTTATCTGACATAACTAACCTGCTTATTCAAAGAATAAACATATTCTTATACAGTTGGATTCAAACCAACACAGCTTCTATCTCTATTAAGATAGCCACGTAGCAAACTGTTAGTGAATCAAAATGAAATCCTCAGGATACATTTAATGATTCAGAATCAATTCATCTGAATACCTCTATGGATACAGGTATATTATTTAACCCAACTTCAAAGAAAGCTAAAACAGCCAATATTGTTGTAGTAACAACAGCTGTACATGTAATTATTTGTGCTCCTGATACTCCGATTTTTCTACCAAAAAAACCAGAAGCTATTGATCCTAATAGTGGTAAGATTATTATAGCTAGATACATTATTTAAATTCAATACTAATACTTCCTCTTCGTTTTCTCCCTTTTTCCATAGGAATTGTATTCCCTTAGGAAGGATAGGATATTACCATAATTTTTCTATTATGCCTGACTATACCTTAAGCAAATAATTATATAATTATATAATTATAAACCAATCTCCATTTAGTCGATGAACTTTTTACCAATATTTCTATATTGATGTTTAGCTGCGGATTATCTATTTCATTTCTTCATACAAACCGTTTTTACCATACAACGAGTCATTACCTGTTCCATTAATCATATTACTAGATTAATTTGGTAGATTTGTCTTTAAGATTTCCCCGCATTTTGAAGATTTCGCCTTAATGAGACTAGATAGAGGTTTGCTCTACCTTTTTTGACCTATTTTCTCTCAAACCCCTAATCATCTCCATGATTATTTTCAGTAGTAATCCCCATTTTGTTTTTTAATAACAAGATTTCTTTCAGACCATCTTCTTTTAAATGTTCTTTATTTTTAACCATAAAAGCAGCTATTTTAAAAGAACAATAATTTGAGTACTTTGATCCTGCAATACTATATTCTTCAAAAAAAGGTAATACATGGTTAATTATATCATCAATTCTTGTAACTACAAACTCAGCTATTGAACGCTTTTCATATCTAACTACATATCCGCATTTAAAGAAGTCTACAAAACTCTCTAATAAATCTACATCTCTTAAATCTTGAGCAATAGAAAAACGTAATGAAGCATATATATTGTCTGTTGTCTTAGATTTATTAATAGCAATAAAAAAATTAGATTCTCCTGTTGAAAATCCAGCTATTCACGGTTTAGAATGCACAAGTGTATTATAGTTATTTACTCTTTCTTCTCTTATAACAGGAATAGTTTCAGGAAAAGCCTTTTTTAATTGGTCAGATAAACCTCCATTCATAGATGCCCTTGTATTAATTATTTTTTGTATTCCCTCTAGATTAGTATGCTGTTTTTCTAACATTAAATTAATAACATTTTTAAAAAGCATACAATCGGAATATTTTTTAGTTAATAAGGGATAATTATCAAAGTGCGGTATAATTACATTAGTTATATCCTTAATAGAATGAACCCTAAATTCCACTGTAGAATTCTTATTGGGTTTGGATACAAGTCCTATACCTCCGAAAAATTCATGTATTTTCAATAATAAAGATCTATCTTTTTCATGCATCTTTAGTTGAATTCTGGCCTGCACATTTCATCCAGTTTTATATCTAGAATTCTTTAGCATTGCAATTAGAAAGGAACTTTCAGCATCCAAAATTCCAGTTATAAATAATGGATCTAAAGAATTTTTACAGTTAAGGGGTTTAGATGTAGAATAATTTCTTATTCCACTTGGAATGATATTAAGAGCTTTAATGGGTGATTTAGCTTGACTAAAGGATAGATGGATTGATTTAAAAGAGATAAATCTATAAAAAGCTACTAAAATACCTAAACCTATCGCAGATTCTGCTCCGGCTATGGCAATAATATAAATAGCATACGTTTGACCTAATATATCATCAAAGCTAAGTGAACTAACCAATACTAAAAATGTAATAGCTAATAGCATTATTTCTATTGAAATAAGCATTAATATTATGTTTTTTCTGTTTAAAACAAAACCTAAAATTCCAATTGTAAATAAGATTAGTGATAAATTCATTGTATAAAAATAAAAAATTAATATAGGTGTTCTAAAGTATTTTATTGTATAAGACCTTTACTTTCATTAGGTTATTGATAATATCTTATATTGCTATTAAACAAATAAGAATTATTCATGTATTATATATACAAATTTAATACACTACTATAAAATTTTATGGCTAATTAGCTATAATGACTCTGTAATACGGTATATATAAAACAACCTGTTGCGTGTAAAACAGATGCTCTTTATTGAGCTCTTTTCTCTTTTTTTTGTGGGGCTTTAATAGGTAAATCATAGATTAATCTTCTCCCCTAATTGCCTTTTACATTACGTAACTGCAATTTTCCAGCTTAAATACAAAAGATTTATATTCCGGGATATGTTATACTATCTGGTAAGGTAATTACTTTTCATAACATGTNTTTTTTTTTTTCAACCCTTTTTTTATTTTTTTCGACGTAATTTCGAGTGTTCGAAATTACTAGAAAAAAATTAGGGACAAGCCCGCGAGGGCTAGAGTTAGATAGAAAGGTTTTACCTTACTATTATTCTTGTAATCAAGATAAGAATAGCACAAAATGATCTGTTTATAGAAGAGTACTAACTATTGTTTCATTTGTTTCCATAGTTAGATTATTTATCAGATCCTGAATCCGCTCCACCAAAAGCTATTCTTTGATATATATATATAGTGTATGCTGCAGAGAAAATTATAGAACTTGCAAAAACACCCAATAAAGATGATCTTTCAAATACCCCATATAATGTAATGATAAAAATTCTTCTATTAATTACGACGAGAGGATGAATTACTACTTAGTAAGCTATCCCAAGCAGTATGGGTAGCGTGTTTGTTAAATAAATAATAATCACAGTTACCACAAATAGCCCTACAGCATGAATTACATTTATAATACTTAAAATCTATAAGTTTCTTACAGTTGTAACAAGGTTCACAATTTTTTTCATGGTTATATTCATTCCTAGAGGTTCAACCATGGTTACTTCCACGTATCTCACAATGATCAACTCTTCCATCATTAATATTATAGGTGTTGTAGCAATTAGATTTAGAATTTTCCCATGATAGGGGCTTAGTAAAAATCCCAGGTTGTATTTCACCATTTTCATTTCTATAGGGATATGCACCATCTACATGCTGTTGAACAGAAACTGTACCAACTGAAGGATCTGGTACTTGTCCAGCTGAAGGATTTGGTACTTGTCCTGCTGAAGGATCTGGTACTTGTCCAGCTGAAATATTGGGATTAGATCCTGCAGAAGATAAAAACACATTGTATCTCATTGATGTGAGATCAGCATTTATTACAGTAGAATCCGTTAACATATCGTATTCTTCTGAGCAATTACTTAGCAGTTCATTAGCTACAACATAATCTATTGTGCAATATAAAGCATAAAATAAGTTTATTGTGTATAATGTTATAATAATAGCTGATAAAGATATATTAGCTATTATTATGTATATAAATACTTTCCCAATCTGATTAATCTTTTTTTACTGTAACTAAGAAATTTAAAAGTAATAGCCGTAAGTAATATTCAAACAGATAATGCAAAACAACTATGGTAATAGTAGTAACTATTATCTTTGAAGTATGCTTCTCAAGCACTAGATGAGTCACAACTAATTACGTTTGAATCAAATGCGTAAATTAGAGTTGAAACTGAATAATGAATAGCGTCTAATATTGGTGCAGGATATATACCAAATAATACAGTAGGTATAACTAATATTAATAAGATTGTAAACTCTCTTTTAGTTAAATCCGGTATACTAAAGGTAAACATTCTTGAATAGGCTCCACCAAAAGCTATTCTTTGATACATATATATAGTGTATGCTGCAGAGAAAATTATAGAAGTACTTGCAAAAACACCAAATAAAGATGATCTTTCAAATACCCCATATAATGATAAAAATTCTCCTATGAAATTTAAAGATAAAGGAGCTCCACAGTTAGCAAGACATAGTATGAAGAATAATATAGCAAATAATGGCATTACTTGAGTAACTCCTCTGTAGAAAGAAATAACTCTTGTAGAAGATCTGTCATATAATACACCTCCTGCACATATAAATAGACCTGGTGAAACTAGTCCATGAGCCAACCCTAAATTAATAGCACCTTCAATACCTTGTATACTGTTACTGAACACACCTAGAAGATAAACTGCAGCATGAGAAACAGAACTGTACGCAATAAGTTCTTTAATATCTATTGTTCTTAATGTACTAAGACTAGCGTATACTATAGTAATAACACCAATTAGGAAAATTATATAAGTATATTCCATATAAGCTTTAGGTAAAACAGGTAAAATTAGTCTCAGTATACCATATAAACTTAATTTAAGAACAATTGCTGCTAAAATAATACTTCCACCTAAAGGTGATTCAACGTGAGCCTTTAAAAGTCATGTATTCAGGAAAATTGTAGGAGTTTTTACAGCAAAAGCTATAAAAATACCATAAAATAAGAAAAGTTGTGTTAAATAAATGAAATTTCCTTTAAAAAGAGTATCAAAATCGGTAGTACTCATGATAGATGACATTGCTAATATAGACAATAGTAAAAATAATGATCCCAACAGTGTGTATAAGAATAAATAAAAACTAGCTTTTACTCTGTTATCTGACCCAAATATACCTATCAATATAAATAAAGGAGGTAAAATAGATTCAAAAAAGATGTAAAAAAGTAAAATATCTAATACTAAGAAAACCGCTAATAATAAAGTTTCTAATAACAGTATTATAATAACATAAGATTCTACATCTTTTGTTATTGATTTTCAATTCGATACTAGTGAGATAGGAATAATAATAGTAGTTAATAGAATGAAATATATAGATAGACCGTCTACACCTAGATAAAAGTCAAAATAACTTATTTCATGATATTCTTGTACAAATTGAAACTGATTTGTACTAAAATCAAATAAAATAAAGATAATTAATGAGATAAAGAAATTTAAGATAGATGTAGTTAACGCTATGAATTTTATATTTCTTAATGAAACTCCATTATCCCTATTAATTAATATTGCAAGTATACCTAATAAGGGAGTTAAAAGTAAAGATGATAATAACATATATAAAACAAAAAGAATAAATTCCTCTAGATAGTGTAGAATGATAATGTATCAACTATACTTTAAATAATCACCATATGGAAAGTAAGGTAAAAAATTCTTTATAAATATATCTATATATATATTGATAAATTCATAGACATATAAAATAGATGTCCTAAAAATTGAGAATTCTTATCTAAGACTTGAACTTAGATTAGGAGATTAGGAAAATCTTGTTTTGCCATTAAACTAATAAGAATTTTGTAATGAAATTTTATAAAACGGCACATTACTATTATAGCATAATACTTTTTTATGAAGTTATATATTCATACCATTATTGTGTATGTAGATAAACTCGTTTACGAGTAATTAATGATTATTAATATAAATTTTCAATTTTTTGTTTTAATGGGGCTTTAACATCTGTTTAGTCTTCTCCCCGTTATTGCTCTAGAAATAGTAATTACTAATGCAATTTTCCACTAGATAAATATAATTTGTCTACTGGGGTTTGTTATACTATTATGGATAAAAATGTAACTATCCTTTTGGGATGATCACCAGAAGGGGCAGATATTTAAGTCAGTTCCTTCTGGGAGACTAAGTAACAAATTTTACCATTTTCATAACAAGTTAACGGTAATCTAACCATTATTTTCTAATTTTTTTTCTAGCCCTTGTTTTTTTTCTAGGCCCCCTCTCTNATCTACGATTTGACTAGTCAAATCCGTAATTCGTAGATTAAAAAAAGTTAGGCCCCCAGCTACTTGTAGCTGGAGGGCGAAAAGAAGACTAGAGGGCTATTTAACTTTAAAGTTTTTTCTATTTTTTGTGTCTTAAATCCACAAAAGTATTTTCAAGAACAGTAACACCATACATTACAAAAGTAAAGTAAGAGAAGTATAATACGGTACTTATTTGTCCAAATTCAATAAATGGAGACTCAACGTGTTTAGCACCTAATTGCATTAAGATTAAGAAATTAGCAACAAATGCAAAGAAAGCTGCTTTACTTAAAGGTCTAAATTGCATACCTCTCGATCTACTTACATCTGTAACAGGTAATAGTAGTAATATAAGAATAGCTGCGAACATTGCTATAACTCCTAATAATTTGTTAGGAATTGATCTTAATATAGCATAGAAAGGAAGAAGATCATGTTTTTTAACTAATGAAATCGTCTTAATTCAAAAAAATTCTTAATTCAAGAAAAGTAATGGGTTAGATACCTAGTTTATATAACATTTCTTTAATAAAGTAAGGTTTTACTAAATTTATCAATGTATCCATTGATTCTTTAAATATATAAATTCTAGGTTTCTTATCCCTGTTATAATGTATGGATGTTTTAAGATTGAATTTATCTTGTAATGTAAACATAAGTTTATCTACATCTGTAGTACTAAAAGCATAAACGCTTATATGTAATCCATCACCCTGTTTGGATCCATCGTCCATGATTCAGAAGGCTAACCCTCTAGGTGTTAACAATTCATATATATAATTAGGTACAATTTTCACATTTAAATTATAAAAACAATCTTTATATACATTAAAACAAGGAAGTTGCATTCTCGTGAAAGATATAGCACTGTAAGTTTTTTTAGTTCTATTATCTCTTACTATCTTAGATTGAGGAACATAAGCGTTAACACAAAAAGGTAAAAATATTTTAAATACATGATCAAAATATTCTTTATGTGTAACCGCTGTCTGTGCATATATTAATCTAGAGTTAGCAGTAGATGATCTACGAGAAATGTGGCCATCACCAAGTAATATACCTGTCAATGTTTCTTCGACTTCCGTCGGTAATTTAACTAATGCTCTCTCACTAGGGGACAAACGTACAATCCCTTTAGTAGAACGAGCAGAAAATAATATTGGACTAGGTACAAATAATAAAGAATGAAGATCCTTTTCATTGTTAAATACATAGAATTTCTTCTATGATAGGACTATATCTTCAATTTAAATTATTAATTAAACTTTTTGTTGGAATATTTTTATTAATAAATCATATACCTATAAGTATACTTAATTAAAACTTAATACAAGTTCTCTTAATTTAAATTGTCTCGCGTGTAGTCTCTGAGGATCCTACTAGGATATTTATTTGTCCTTTGGTTTCCTGCTGATTGTCCTAGTTTAATATAACTATACTTTAGTTACCCACACGTAGGATTTTCCAGCATTTAGCGAGATTTTTAAATAACATCTTCTTTAATATCATTCTGGAACGATAGCTGCAGGAGTTTGCATAGGATTTGCCACAACATAGTTTTCACTATCTCCTAATACATTAGGCATAAAGAACACAAATAAAGATAATACAAATATAAATGCAAAGATTGTAATAAGATCTTTAAATATTAAATATGGAGCAAAAGGCATTCTATCGTAGTTTCCAGATACACCTAAAGGATTTCCTGATCCAGCTGTATCGTGTAAAACGATTAAGTGCATTAGTGCTAAAGCAGCTAATACGAAAGGTAAAACGAAATGTAATGAGAAGAATCTATTTAATGTTGCATTGTTTACAGAGAAACCTCCTCAAATGACAATTAATTTATAATGGATTTTTAATCTCCATTCTCATAAGCTTTAACTTATGTTTAGACTATATCTTAGATCAAACATTTTATTTGATCTTGGGGTTCTCGTGTCGAGCTTATTGTTGGTATAACTCACTCATTAGTCGTTGAACGTTCTTGATTCATTCAATATGAAATACCGAATCAAGCTCCGCTGCAGATTGTATAATAAATAGGAGGATGTTTATTATATGTCTTTGCAATTCTCCCCATTTGCCTCTGAAACATTACTGCTTCAAGGAGCCCATTTATCACAAAATTTATGACCGTCTCTTTTTATTCTTTTTTTTTTGCGTCAAAAAAATATTTTTTTTAGCAAAAAAAAGACGAAAAGAGACAATCAAACCAGAATATTATAAAACTGCCTCAGGAAAATTAAGACTATTATAACGCATACTTGCACGTAAAGAATTTAATCATTTAATATATTGAATTCCTTTCAATCCAACTAAAGGATGTAGACCAGAGAATGAAAAGAAATTTATAACTTTTTGTATATCAGACTTAGAACTAACACCAAATTGGTTATAAAGTCCTTTTTCTGTTTCTATTTTTCTATTTGTATCAAACACTAGTTTAAAAGCTTCAAATAAATTCTTATGTATTCTTTGTTTTAACTGAAAACAACCGTCATTATTTGCTTTCACAAAAAATGAACCTTCGGACATTGCAAATCCCACGATTCAATTTCTAAAGAAAAGTAGTTTTGTATAATCCAAGGGTGTTTTTGGTAATTCAAAAGAAGCAGGAATATCTTTAGGGATTTTGTCAAAAGTTCTTATATCATTTTTTAAAATATACATAGCTAAATTAAACTGTTTTGATCTAGTTTCAGTTAAAAAGAATATATTTTTATATAAAAACAATGGAAACACAATCTCTTGTAAATCTGTTCTATTAATAACTAACTTACAAGTAGGACTTCTATTATCACGATAAATATTTAATTTTCCTACTTTTAGTACTGAATTTATGTATTCCAGAGTAGAAAGATCTTCTAAGTGTAATGATATAACAAGTTTCATAGTTATAAATCCTTTAGTTGTATTGGTTATTTGTATATACCCATCTCCATCAACTAGTCCGGCAAAAAAAGCCAAGAATGATGAAGGAATATTAAGGTATTCTTGGTTTTCTAGTCTAGAATTATTTTTTCCCTTCTTTAAAGCATTTTTGTGTACAGTACCTATTACAGGTAAACTACTTAAAATAATTGCTTCTGAATAAATTTCTGTGATTTCTTTTGACTCAACAATATCTTGTCCTACTCAAGGGATAGCACTCATAAGGTTAGTAATACAAAATTCACAATAAGATGGTTGCTTTTACTAATTTTTAATAGGAGAAAAATTTGATTTAGAGTAAGCTTTTATTCTTTTTATGCGTTTAGCGACTACTAAACCTTCTTTATTTTTTACAGGTTTACCATCATTTAAACGAGCAGTTATAGTATTATTACTTACATGGAGAAATTTAGCACATGAAATTCCATTAGTAAAATAATTAAAAGAATTATTTAAGAAATAAGCTTTTATAATGTAAGTAGATCGAATGTATTTTTTTTCCGAAATTATCATTGCTCTACCCTCAGAATCAATATGTATTAAAGGTTCTGCTTTAATTAAAAGATCTAATTCTGATTTAACGATTTCATCCAATATGAGAGGGTTTAAGTTTGTAGATAATCTATTATTATTCATACAATCTCCCAGTTTTATTATTAACTCTTTACCTTTTTCAGTTAAATGTTTACCCTCTAATAGTAAAAAAGCTATTGTTTTAAAATCTGAATAATCTTTAAATTTTTTAGTTCTAAATTCAAAACTGTCTAAGTAAGGAATTAATACATTATGAATAAAATCAATTTGGTAGATTTCTAATATAGAAATAGGCCTAAAATCACTTTTTACTTTTTTATCGGAAATATTAATTAGTTTAGTAGTACTACCTAACATATAAGAGTGTTCGTCTAATAAACTTAAAATAAATTCACGTATTTTTTCTAAAACTTGTCTATTTACCGAAGTAGTGACAAGTGAAACACGAACAGTCATATCTTGTTTATTTAAGTAAAATGACCCATCTCCTTCTAAAAAACCTACCAAATAATTACCTGTAATTCTTATTTTATGATTTACAGGTAAAACAAAATTAACTCTATTAGAATTCATATTTTGTTTCAATTCAAGAATATTTGAGTATATTTGTAGTATACTTAATTCATTAGATTTACGATTTTTAAATAAGAAAAATGCTTTTTTAAAATCTAAATAATCCAAGTATTTAGTAGTATTTAATGGAAATTTTTCAAACAAAGGTATTAATATTGTTTCAATATCACTTAATTGAGATATTGAAAATACTAAAGTGTTTCTCTCAGTATTTAACCTACCGCAAGCTAAAACATCTTTTATACGTTCTAAAATTTTTCTATCGTCTATGTGTAAAGCAATTCTAAATACAAATTCAAAACCTCCTACTTCTCCTTTTTCATTTTTTCTAGTCCTTATTAAAAAATTAGATTCTGCTTCACAAAGGCCTATAAATCATTCTATAAAATTACTATTTATAGGTGATTTAGGTAATACTTTATGGACACCTTTTGATAAATCATCCATCTTATCGTTTTTATTCTCATCCTGTTTCCCTTCATAGGGAAAATGAGTTGAAAAATAGATTTGATAACACTCTGATAAAAAAGGTGCGATTAAAAAAGTAATACTTTAAACCTTTGATTTGCAACCCAGCATCTATTAAAAAATGGGAAGATACTGATAAATTTATCTAAAGGTGGAGGCGCGACTCTCCTATCGCTAACTTTCGTTAACGGATCGGACTATATCTTCATCTTTTTAACAATATAATTACTTTTATAAAACTTATTTAAATGCTTTTACTTTTATTAAAAAAATGTACCACGTATAGTCTCTGAAGAACCAAAAGTTGAATTCGTTATATACAGCTGCGCTATATTTAATATAGGTTCCTGCTGATTGTCTTTTAAGAGTTTCCAGCAATTAGTGGTATTTTACTACAGCTATTACTTCGCCTATTTAACTGTAGCCAAATCTTCAATTTACTTATTCTAGCCCCGAGGGGGCTGACCCTTTGGGAAGACCCCCGATGGGGCTCATCCCGACAGGGATAGTTTATTTAAACTCTTAGTGTTTAAATAAGTAAATCATGTACACCATACTTATCTTTATAAAGATAATTGTAATAAAATACAGTATAATGCCTTGTGTTTCAATATAAAACCTATATATACTGAAAAAAGATTCCGACTGTACATTAAGCAGCATTTCAGCTACCCACCTGTGAACCAGTCTGTAGCGATATTTTATTATACCGACGGTCTTTATACTAAACAAATATATTTGACCGTTTTCACAAGCATTGCTGCAAAATCATATTGGGTCCTTTTATATTAAAAGGGGGACCTAATAAGTTTTAAATAAATATTGCCTTAAAAGATTCTGCAACTATATATAACTAATAAAAACATAACTAATAAAAATATAAACAAATAGGCTTTGCTTCTGTTTGTTTTTAATAAAAAAAAACTAATACAAACTTAAACACCTTCAAATACAACATGGTCCCTTATTTTACCAATCATCCTATCCACCATCTCCAAAAACATGCATTATATCTAAGTCCGTCTTCAAAAGCTATATTTTCTATTTTTCCCTTACAAAGAAGATGAAACGTATCATAGAAAGGACAAATCGAAAGAAGGGAACTTATCTGATTACGGTACAAAGTCCGGATATCTCCGATCTAATGAGTCAGATATAACACTCTACCTAATGAGTCAGATATAACACTCCACCTAATGAGTCAGATATAACACTCCACCTATCGAATCATTCAAGCTTATCTTATTCTATCTGGTGATATGTCCACCTTCCGTATTAGCCGGCCACCAAGAAGAAGGTGTGTGGTGGGGGGAGGGGTCACATAACTTTCCACCATTGGGAGGTTGCGGCCTTATCTTTAGCCAAGACGTTAAGACGTCCGTTCTCCTAGATCGCCGATTGCTGTGCGTGATAAAGTCTCACCAATCAAAACATACAAGCTTATCTTTTTTCCGAATGGATGACGTGTCTGTATTCCCGGATCACCGATGGATGTGAGTCACATAATAATGCACCAATAGGAGGTTTCAGTTTTATATTATGTTGTTCAGATGACTTCTACTCCTTTCAATGATTGGAAGATTAGTCTACTTGGCTGCATAGTTGCCTGCTTGGTACAACGGTTGCCTGCTTGGCACAGTGGCTATGTGCTTGGTACAGTGGGTATGTGCTTGGCCTTTTACAGTATAAGTACCACCCTTTTCACTCAACTAATTCGTGTTCACCTTACACACTTACACTTCAAAAAGTTCGTGTAAAATCAACCAAATGCACCTCAATGTCTTCTACTCTTTCCTCAACCCCTTCTTCTGTCGAAGTTTCGACAACTCAACCTGTTCACCAAAACCTCCCCAGGTTTTCTTCTGAACGTCTTATTTTTCGACCACTCTTTGAGTCGGATTTTGAAGCCTATCACCTCCTCCTGAAGCAACCTGAACCTATGCGTGGTTACGGCCTTGACGCAATGCCCGAAACGAAAACAGCTCGACATTGGTTCAATGAATTACAAGACCAAAAAAGAGTCGGAATCTTTCTCAAAAACTCAAATGAAAGGGAGGGAGAACTTATCGGTGAGGGATTGGTCCTTAAAATGGACAAGCAATGGCCTAGAGTCCATTATGTGTTCAAAAAGGAGTACTGGGGTCATGGTTACGCCACAGAGTTCCTGAAGGCATTTTTGTCCGTTTGGTGGGATCTGCCCCGTGAAAATACAAGCATCCTTGTTGAGGAAATCTCCCTCGATAGCCAGGAGAAACATAAGGCAACTGAGCGATTGTGTGCTGAAATTAAGATGGATAATAAAGCAAATCAAAAGGTGGTGGAAAAGGCAGGGTATAAGTTTTGTGGAGAAGTAAAAAACCAGGATAAGGAGATCTGTGGCTTTTGGCGTATCATCTGTCCGAAAAAGGAAGAAACGGTTTCTTGATGTTAAGAATTTGTCCTGAACAGTGTTTTTTTTAGCCTCGGCGCCATCAGCCCAGGGGGCTGAGGGCTGAGTAAAAAAAAAGAACTATTGCATAGTTCTTTTTTTTTAAGCGGAGCCGGAGTAATGGTTGTTTTAATGGAAGTTTACATATGGATTGTCTGGTTAGAGTATTCAACCTACTCTACTTTGTTATTTAACCAATAATGAAATTTAAATTTACCATCCTTTAGCCTTGCCTCACTTTTTAATATATAAATCTCATCTTTACCAATCCTCCTCCAAAGGTCTTTCACTTTTTCCCACTTCGAGTATAATATCTCTTTCCAATACGGTATTCATGTCCCTTCAGCTTCCTTTCTTGGGCCTTCAGCTTTTTTTCTTGTCCCTCCATATTATCCTTCAGCTCATAAACCATCTCCTTCAGTTTTTCGATCAGCTGTTCCTGAGCCTTCATCTTGCTGTCCTGCTCCCTCCTCTCTTCACGAACCCCTTGGACCTTCACTTCCATCTGATGGATGAGTAACTGAGACGATCTGGTATGATCGGAGTATAATTCAGGTTCGTCTGAAAGTTGGGTATTGTCCAAGTGCTCGAGCACATGGGGTGGTAATTTGTAATCGGTCCTGTGCTGCTCAGGTTGGGCTGAAGAAGGTGTTTCTGGGATCCAGGTTTCAGGAACAAACTGGGCCTGATAGGATGACGAGGCTTCAGATGTCCCTTGAAAAGGTGAAAAGGAGGGATAGCCATCCAAGAGCGGTAAACCGTGCGTAGGGTAATCGGGTTTTCCGCTTGAAGCAGAGAGGGTTGGAGAAGAAGCGGGTGAATGGATGAAAGTAAACATGGTTGGACAGACTTAAAACCCGAAAGAAAAGTGGTGTATTGTATTGGGGATGTGGTGGTGGACTGGTGAAGAATAAGACCGAAAGAAAGGCCGACATATATACTTGTAAACCTCTCTTATTAAGCCAACCTCGGCTTTACGCCGAGATTAAGTCGCATACTGATGTAACGGCCAATAACCCTATCGATAAGGTAATAACAATGCCGGGTTTATGCAATAAAATTGCATAGCCCTATCCAACATATCTCTTATGCAATACCCTTTTAGGGAAGATAACCGCGTGTACAATAAAAATGAAGCAGGTGATGGATAAGAGTTAGCGAATAAGAGGTGAAGGAGTTATCTTTATCTCTTTCACATGAGATTCTAGACTTTAAATGTCTTTTACATTAATGAGTCATAGATAAGAGTCAACAAATCAAAGCTGAAAAGGTTATATTTATCTCTTTCACATGTCAGCCCAGACATCTAGATCGCCGATAACAGTCATAAATAGAATGAGCCAATCAAATCTCTTCCCCTTATCTTTAGCCCAGAAGATTACGTGTCATTCTCTCAGGATCGTCACTTGCTTTGAGTCATTGTTAAGGATAAGCCAATAAAATATATCACCCTTATCCTTTTGTTGTAAGGATAACAGGTTTTCGACCCATCATCTGACACTTCTGCCTGATTGGCAGTATGGATGCCTAAGCTTGGCACAATAATATCTCGCTGTTGCCTACTTGGCACGCTTTTACCTCGTTAGCAAATAGAAGTATAAGTATCTCTCATTTCTCCCTACTAATTTATGTTCACCACCTTACCAAGGCATCTCAACATCCGATCACTTCTTTCAAACAGCACTTTCATCCAAGAAGTTATCAGCAACCACCTTTCGTCAACCATCTTTGCACCAACCCCACCATTCTTAACAGAATTTACCAAACCAACCCTCCTTTCGCCTACCCGTCCGATAAACCAAATACACTCACACACTACAATGGCTTCTACATTTACCTCCATCCCCCTCTCTGTATCTGTCCAAGTATCAACTACCAAACCTTCTCACAAAAACCTTATGGGGTTTTCTTCCGAACGTCTTATATTTCGACCGCTTCTTGCCTCGGATTTTACGGCATACCTTGCCATATACAAGTCATCTCTATCCAATAGCGGAACGTTCTCAACACCAAACCAAAGCCAGTTGGAAACTTTCGTTCAAAGTACTCGAGAATACTTTCTCGAACGAAAACTCATCGACTATGCAATGGTCGGAATCTTCCTCAAAAAGCTAGACGGAACCGAAGGGGAGTTAATTGGAGATGGAGGGGTGTTCTTCTTGGATAACAAGGATGAAAAATGGCCTGAGATCTATTATGTTTTGAAAGAAGAGTATTGGAATAAGGGATACGCCACTGAGTTTGTAAAGGAGTTCCTAGGTGTTTGGTGGAGTCTGCCACGTGAGAATACACGCATGCGTGTACAGGCTATCTCATTGGGTAAATTTTTTTACCATCAAGAGGCTAAAGAGCAATTGGGAGCTGAGATCCATATGAGTAACAAAGGAAGTATAAGAGTTTTGGAAAAAACAGGGTTTGAATTTTGTGGGGAATACTTAGCAGGTGGAGAGAAATTTAGCTATTGGAGATACACTTCTCCTCATTAATTGTACCTTACTATCTTTGGTACTGGAGGAAATAAAGATGAAGTCACCAATTTTTTTTTTTAATTTTTTTTTTATTTTTTTTATTTTTTTATTTTTTTTTAGTTATACATTTGAGGCAAAAATTTTACCTCATAGTGACATTTGCCCATAAGGAAGAACATACAAACTTACTTATTATTAATATTTTAAGAATAAGCTAAAATAACTTTGAATTCGTATATTTTATTAGTTAAACACATCTAACTAAAAGTTTCGCCTGTACATTAAGCAGCATTTCAGCCACCCATTAGTGACCCAGTCTGTAGCGACCCTTTATATGGCCGACGGTCTTAAAGTTTATTAAGCTTCTTTAACCGTATTCACTAATATCGCCAAATAATATTAAATATTATTCTATAACCCCGTCGGGCTATACCACTTTAATCTTTTTTTTTTTATAAAAATTGCAAAAAGATTTTTACTCATGGGACTATGATTTATATAAGAATATAAATATAAATTTTAAAATGTAATTTTTAAAGTATAGAAACAATTTTTAACGAAAAAGACCTATTTATTACGAGACATATCTTCTACTATTCATTGTCTTTTTACCAATTTCTTTTCTGTCTGTAATGCTCTCCTAATGGTTTTTTCATTACAGTTAATAGCTTTAGCTGCTTCTAAAACAGTAGGATATTGACCGTAAATAGTTCTATCTAAGTTGTACAACACAACAGGTCTTGTGTTAACTATACACTTTTTCTTAGTTTCATCTGACATAGGAGGTTTAAGTAAAGCTTTTTCTCTAATTCTTTCTATTGTTTCATGAGACAAATTTTTACCTTTATTTAATTTACCTATTTGTTCCCGTCTCGCATCACTATAAATATCTTTCATCTTTTGACGATCAATTTCAGTGTGTTTATATCCGAAACTAGAACCTGCTTCTGTTAAAATATTGTAATTAGGTACTAATAATTTTAAGTATTTATCTTCTAAACGCAACAATTCATGGTTATTTTCTTTGGTAACAATATTAGGATATAAATCTAATACAACAAAAGCAAAATTTTTCAAATCATACTTTTTAATGGCTAATTTAACTATTTTGCTACCCCTAAAATAAATAACATGGTTGCAGAATCTAGCATAAAATCTACCAGTTGAGGCAGAACCTATATAATAATCTTTAGTTGTTTTATTAATTATCATATATACACCACTTAAACCTCTTGTATCATTTAATATTTGTTTTCTAGTTTCTTCTAAATTTAAATTTTCATAGCAATACACAAGGTTTAAACCTAACTCATTAATAATTGTTTCTAGTCTTTCAGACATTATAGTACTATTTGAAGAACTACTTGTAGAATATCCTCTTTTTACTATACTTTTGTTAAATAGTCTTTTACTATTTACTTTAAAATTCATTACATTCTTTTTATTAAAATTTACATTTTCTTTATTACTTATATCAAACCATTTTGGGCTATGTTGGTAACCCAGGAAAGCTGTCTAAATTTCCGCTAACTATCCTTTTATTTTATCTGAATAGCGCGCCTGTACTTTATCAAAATATTAGTCCCCGAGACACGCTAAATCTCTTTATAATATTTCTCATTTAAAGCCTTGTGTATAACAAATTTGTTATAGAAATTTCCGACTGTACATTAGATATCATTTCAGATACCCACAGGTGACCCAGTCTGTAGCGATCCTGTATAGAACCGACGGTCTTAACTTAGATATCAAGTCTTTAACCGTATTCACCCGCATTGCCAGATAACTAGTAGTTATCCTATACCCCTGTCAGGGTATACTATCTCACAGTAATATCTTATTACTAGTATATTTCTATATACATATTGCATATACTTTTATTGGAGACGGACTTTGATTTTTAATTTCATATTAAATGTAACCAATAAATTTATATTTCATCTCATCTATTATATAAGGTTTAACTATTGCAACTAAATCAGTCATGCTTTCTTTTCAAATACTTATTTTTCATTGATCTGCAAATCCTGTTTTTACAACAGTACATTTAAGATTATATTTATCTTTTAATATATTACATAAAAAAGTACATTCTTTAAAAGTAAAACCATTAGTTGCAATGTTTATACCTTGTTTTGCTTGTCTAGAACCATCTTGTGGGGTTTTACTGTAGAAAAACTATGTTAAAGTTATTTTGTACTTACCATATATCTCCTTACTAACTAGGTATTTATTAATTGTATTTCTAGATATCTTCATATTTAGAGATGCATCTCTAAATGAATTAAAAACTAATTTTTCATTTGTTTCTATATTAGTAAATACAACTTTTTTACTTTTAGTTAAAACATTAAATTTAATCATACCTGCGGTAATTTTAGCTCTAACATCCGCAGGAAAAGGTGAAGCATTCAATTTTGCTATATTATTTTTGATTTTTATTAAATGTTCTGGAGTTTTAGTTTTCATACGTAATTTAGTTTTTTCTGAATGTTTAAATCCTAAGCTTGACCCCGCTCTGAGTAAAATATTATATTCAGGTTTTAAAAGATCTAAGTAGTATTGTTCTCTTTCAATCAAATTAGATATTTCACAATATTCTAGTATTTCAAGTTTAAATTTGGAATATCCATATTTTAAAAGAGCTCTATCTATACGCATATTACGTTTAGTATCGGCTATGTGGTTATAATTGTAATATTGGTAAAATCTTTTACTTAAATTAGCACTAGATCCTACATAGCTTTTACCGGTTTCTTTATTTATTCAACGATATATACCTGATTTACCCCTATTTTCTTTAACAGCCAATTCTTTATTAACGTCAGCATCATCATAAGTAGCAACTGTTTTAATTTGGTCATTATAGTTTTTATAACCACCTGTTGTATTTAAATGATTACTGTCTAATAAATAGTATAATTCAGGGTACATATAAGGATGAATAATTGAACGTAAAAGTGGTATAGATTCTACTTTAATACATATTTCCATCTTACCAGAATGATTTAATACCGTAGTATCAATACCATATTTATCTATTAAAACGTTTTTTAATAAATTTAAATCATTCATGTCGTTAAATTTTGTATATAAAATTAACCCCTCTGATTTAAAAGATCCTGTTTGCATGACAAGGTGAGCTAAACCTATAGGAGTTATATATTCTCCTATTCAGCTAGGTATAATTTTTGTTTTTTTTCCGTTTACGTCTTTATAAAAAGAATCATAAATTCACAATAATGAAGTAAAAGTATATAGAGTTAATCTATAATTAAACCTATCTTCCAACTCTCTTGCACTATCTTTATCAGATTTCTTTACAAGATGAGGAGTGATATTAGAACAATAACCTAATTTATAAAAATATAAGGTAAGACTATGAATATAAGCAGTATTATTTATTCCTTGCTCCATACTAAATCTTACACTTGGAGATGTTTGACCCTTAATTTGGTCTGCTCACCAGTCACCAAGCATACCGCATATTATAATAGATAAAACCTCCTTATTATGTGGACCTATTCTATATAACGCTTTAGTTCTAGATTTACTGAAATAAGATGATGAGTTATATTGGATACATTTATTATGAGAAATTAACATTCAATTTGGCCACTTATCTTTAGCCATCATTAAGATAAAGATAACAGTACCAATAGTTCATACTAGAGTTCTAGGTGCTCTATATGATCCATAGTACATACCTCTACCTATGTGTAAGTAAACTATGAAGAAAAATGCTGAAGCAGTGTTACTATGTAAATAACGTATTAATCACCCGTTGTTTACATCACGCATAATCTAAAAATAGATGAATCCTTTATCAATATTTAATCCCTAGACGCACTATCTATGGGTTTAGATGAAAAAATAAAATTATTTTTATATAACCTACCTGTATCTATGTAACGATTACATGTATTACTACTAGGGTTTAATCCTAACGCTTTATGTGCAGAACTGTATGAAACAAAAGGAGAACCTTCAACCATACCCTTATTTGTGTATATATATACAACTTTAGGGTTATCAGCTCTATTTTGTATACTAAATTTCCGAACATTATCTGAGTGGGGTATATTAGATTTAACATCAAAAGGGGGATCTTTTTCAAAAATGATTTGAGATCTTTTAAAAATGTTATCAATAATTTCAGATATCTTTTTAGTAGTATTTGTACTGTATCTTTTATTAAGAATGTCAGATATATCTAAAAACAGGGTTTTACCTTCAGGTAAATAGTAATAACCTTTTATTTTCAATAGCAGGGCTACTCTTCATAAATTAAAATCTATAGCCTTTCGTGAATACATCTTAGAGGTATCCAATAAAGGTAAAAGGTAATAATAAAGAGAATCTACACTATTTACAACTAAAGATACTACATCTGTTCTAACATTCATTGTATTTATTACATTCAAAGGTAATATTTTACTGTTTTGTAAAACATTATTAGATAGTCCAGTTAAAAAGGTTGTTATAGCATTTAAACTTTCTTGACTTGTATTTTTTTGAGCAACTTGAAAATATAAAGCCGATCCTGTCTTAATACCAAAAGTCCCTTCACCTTCTATAAATCCTATGAATCAATTAGGGTTTATTATAATTTGAGATTTTGTAGTGTTATATGTAAATATTTCTCTTTTAGTGTTCATAGTATTTTTAAGGGATACTATTTTGCTTATATCAGTATTAGATAATTTTTTATTATCTTTAATAAAGATCGCTTGAGAAAAATTTTCAAAGTCTAATCTTTTACTGGTATGCAAAGGAAATGCATTAAAGATAGGGCATATAACATTTTTAATTTCTTCGTAATTTTGTATAATATAAGAACAACGGTTTCTACTACTTTCTAATGTAACAGTACCTACATTTAAATTAGATTTAATTGTATTAAGAACTTCTACATCATCAATATGCAAAGATATTTTAAATCTAAATCTCACATACTGACGATCTATAGAAATTAAAAAGTTACCTTCTGCATCTGTGAATCCTGAAAATCAATATAAGAACTCGCTGGAAACATTTTTCAATAGGTTGTCTTCAGTACGTACATTAGAATTTTTATTACAGTTAGTAGAATAGTTACAAAATCCCATTTTATTTTTATGACCCGATACGTAAGTAGGCAATAATATTAGACCGTTAAATAGGTATAATGGATTAATCTTTAACTATTGATCTTTCAACCAATATAGGACTATATCATCATACAGTAAGTATGTCAACCATGTAGTCTCTGAGGATCTTACTCGTAATTGAATTACTTTGGTTTCCTGCTGATTATCCATAAATATCTTAAATATTTTTATTAACTTCGTAAGCGAAGTTTAATCTTTTAATCTTTAGGAACTTCCAGCATACGGGTTGATTTAACGAGCACATTACGCTATGCTCAACACTATTAAATGCTTCTGCTACACTAGGGTTGTAGTGCATAGCTAAAGTTACACCAGTAACAATTTGTATAATTAAACAAAAGGCTAATAAAGAACCAAAATTTCACATGTAACTTAAGTTTATAGGTTGTGGTGAATCAACTAAGTATGAATTCGCTAATCTTAAAATCGGATGACTTTTAAATAATCTCATTTATTTATTTTTTTGCTTTAATCTTATTTTCATTTAGTAAATTATGTTAACAGTTACACTGCTTTATTACTATTTAACGGATTTACTATAAACCGTTAAATCTTTTATAAATTTCCTGTTATTATTTATATGCATAAGTATATAGATATATGACCAATGCATTATTATTAAGTTTTATATTTGCTAGGTGAAAGGGTAAAGTTGTATAGGTAAACTATTC